GTTGTAAATTACAGTGCATGGAGAATGGTGTTATTCTATCAGAAAAAAATAAGTAGATGCTTTTTTCCATTTGGAACCGGTAGGTTCGCTCAACCTTAATCATGGTTTCCTCACGCATAAAGGTGGTGAACTTAAGAGGGAATGAAGTCAAGGTCAGAATATGGAGTATCTGTAGACAATCCTCCTTCATTTATTTGATCTCCACCCCAAAGGAATAGCTGGTGAATAGCATGATATTCTCATGCTTAAGTGCAAGGTCAGAATACGCATAGAGAAAATTGAATTACGCTCCATTTACGCACGTTTTACTCGGGTCGGAATCGGGCCCTTGTGAATAGTCCTGTCAGAGCCAACTATCCAAAGAGCAAATCCACAAGGTAAATGGTCCTACCAGAACCTCTGGTTGAGTCTTTGGGTCTTGGAATGTAAGTCCAAGTCCAATGAAAAGTCCTTTAAAAAAAAGATGAATTGACTCATTTCCTTTTTTTTACTTTATGCTTTCATGGCAACATGTTACAGAGTCAGCTCCATAAAGCAGTGGCACAAATATGTCTGACTGAATGTGTCCCTCATGATTTGCAGATCAATGTTGGTTAATGCTGTTCATTTGTACCAAATCCCTTCAGCATTAACACATCAGGCTATTCAAAAGGCACATGGCAGTGTGGTCTTGTGTTCCCTCAGAAGTGAAACTACAGAATGTACGGTGTGTATCACCAGGTTGTCATGTGGTAAACTATGTGTGTGTCTCAGTGGCCTTGGCATACATCTCAACATACAGTGGATTTGGAAAGTATTCAGACCACTTCATTTTTCCCACATTTTGTTACGTTACAGCCTTATTCTAAAATTGATTAAAATTTTTTTTTCCCCTGATCAATCTAAACACAATACCACATAATGACAAAGCAAAAACTGGTTTTTAGATTTTTTTGCAAATTAAAATAAAATAAAATAATGAAATATCACATTTACATAAGTATTCAGACCCTTTACTCAGTACTTTGTTGAAGCACCTTTGGCAATGATTACAGCCCCGAGTATGACGCTACAAGCTTGTCACACCTGTATTTGGGGAGTTTCTCCCGTTCTTCTCTGCAGATCCTCTCAAGCTCTGTCAGGTTGGATGGGGAGCGTCGTTGCACAGCTATTTTCAGGTCTCTTCAGAGATGTTAGATCGGGTTCAAGTCTGTACTCTGGCTGAGCCACTCAAGGACATTCAGAGACTCCTGCGTTGTCTTGGCTGTGTGCTTAGGGTTGTTGTCCTGTTTGAAGGTGAACCTTTGCCCCAGTCTGAGGTCCTGAGCGCTCTGGAGCAGGTTTTCATCAAGGATCTCTCTGTACTTTTCTCTGTTCATCTTTCCCTCGATCCTGACTAGTCTCCCAGTCCCTGCCACTGAAAAACATCCCCACAGCATGCTTTGCCGTATGGATGTTATTGGCCAGGTGATGAGCGGTGCCTGGTTTCCGCCAGAGGTGACGCTTGGCATTCAGGCCAAAGTGTTCAATCTTGGATTCATCAGACCAGAGAATCTTGTATCTCATGGTCTGAGAGTCCTTTAGCTGCCTTTTGGCAAACTCCAAGTGGGCTGTCATGTGCATTTTCTGAGGAGTGGCTTCCGTCTGGCCACTCTACCATAAAGGCCTGATTGGTGGAGTGCTGCAGAGATGGTAGTCCTACTGGATTCTCATAAAAATATTTCAGTTTTAAATTTTTTATAAATTTGCAAACATTTCTAAAAACTTGTTTTCGCTTTGTCATTATGGGGTATTGTGTGTAGATTGATGAGGACATTTTTTTATTTAATCCATTTTAGAATAAAGCTGTAACGTAACAAAATGTGGAAAAAGAGAGAGAGTGTGTTTGTGAGAGAGCCAAGAGAACAAGAGAAAGCCAGAAATTGAATATTTAATAACAAAGACCCGACTGACCCAGAGACTGTAAACAAAGCCTCCCGCCTCAATGTAGAGCAAGGATCTACATCTACCACTCTAACCATCTGCCTCATCCCTCACCTTAAATATCATTTCCTTTATTTGGAATGGAAAGACCTCAAGAGTCAAATTGACTGTTTCACTCATTCTATAAAAATAGAGGTCTTGGACTAACTCATATGAAGATTTAATGCCAGGATTATTTATTTTTGAAATACATTTTAGAATAAGGCTGTAACATAACAGAATGTGGAAAAAGTCAAGGGGTCTGAATACTTTCCGAATGCACTGTATATGTAGCTCTGAGTCTCAGTTGCCTCGGCATACATCTCAACATATATGTAGCAAAAAAGGGTATGCAGTATGCGCTCTCATGATTAGTGGTATAGTTGGACTATGCTTGGTTGTTGATGGATTAATAATGTATTTACAGCACATAGTACATATAGTCACTATATTCACTTTATTGATTTTCTTGATAGTTTAAAAACCAAATGATTTAGGACGGTCACTAGTGGGCTGACACCTTTGTGCAAGAGTAGTTCAGGTACATTTGAAATGCTCCATGGTACATGAAATTATACGTTGATTGACTACATAAATTGATATGCTGACACTTCAATGGTAAACAATGTATTTCTTTAGTATTTAAGGTATATTTTAAATCCTGCATGCTGCATAACATGTCAATGCTACATAAATTGATATATTGATTTTAGAATGTAGATAAAACGAAAGGGTTAATGCGCGATTCATTCTCGTTCTATACGACTGATCCCAACGACTGTCTATAGTGACAAATAGGCCGACTTATTATGACAGAATGTATGACAGAAAGTTAACCCTCATGGCTGTCAAATGTGACAACTTGACATTGTGATGACTGACGCTCCAATTACAATTGAAGGAGGCATTTCTGCTCAATTAACTCCTTTCACTTCCCCCCCGTTCTGTTCCTTCACTGTGGTAATATTTAGACGTTGGTGTGTTATTTATAGATGACACGAGCGAGAGACGTGTGGCTGGCGCATGCTGGTACTGTTTAGCACCCAGCATCCATTAGCTTTTACAAAGTGCAGGAAATGTTGGAGCAGACGCTTGATGAGTGCACCCGTGAACTCACCTGTCAAAGCGCTCAACGTGCACATCAATATGAATACTAAGCAGTATTCGCACCTTGAAACATCATTCAACAGAGTCAGAGAGGAAACCTGATACCTAATTGATAGTGTGTCTACTGTAAATGAACTAACGTTCTCTGCAGGGTGGGTGAATGTTCCATCTTTATTGACTGACATTGAGACTTCCGTATTTATTGAGAATAGATGTTTTCTCCCATCTATGGAGACATATTAGACATATCTTATCTATTTCACTTGTGAGAATGTGTGTATTGAGAAGTCTATTCTATTATATATATTTTGTACCCACTTCTGATCACTTTTGGGGTTAATCCAGATCCTGTGATTGATCTAGGAGTGAATGTAGGAGTAAATGGGGCAAATGTCCAAACAGCTGAAGTTATTCCAGTACGAGCCATCATCTTTTACCGCAATATGATACCTGGCATTCTAGGTTAACATGGACCAAGTCTTCCGCTACTCCCTGTTACACAGTGAGATAGTGATGACAGATGGTCTAAAATGGTCCTGAGTGGTGCAATATATTCCTCCTTCCCTAAAGTGTAACAGACAAGACTACAGCTTTACCACACTGACACATTGCCTGGCTCCTGGCATGAGGACGGCCTGTTGCCTTTGGCAATGAGCGCAGAGTTATATAGTCCAGTTATGCTGACAGTTCTCTTCCTCTCTCTCCCTGCTCTCTCTCTCTCTCTTCTCTCTCTCTCCCTTCTCCCTCTCTCTCCCTGCCTTCTCCCCCTCTCTCTCTCTCCCTGCCTTCTCTCTCTCTCTCCCTGCCTTCTCTCTCCCCTTGTTTTCTCCCCCAGGCAGTGGTGATGCCAGTACGTGGCAGAGGGGGGAGAGGATGCTGCGTCTCTGGCCCAGTGTGAGAACCTCCCCCTGGGGAAGCCGACGTTGGACGCAGGGCCCTACGGGCCGCTGATCCCTCTCCTGTGTCTCTGTGATTTATGGCTACTAGGGATCTGGCCACTGCAGACTCCTCTCTCGCGTTCACATTCACAAATACACACATGCTGCACCCCAGTGCTCAGTGCTGCACCACAGAGTGATTCCACCACACACTGAGCAAAATAATCTCTCTCAGCCTCCACACATACTGAGGGACTGAGCCACACTCACTGAGGGACTGAGCCACACTGCTTTTCTCTGCCCCATACAACCTCCCATTGCACCACTGTGTCCTATACACACCCTCACACACCCCTATGTGTATCCTCCACTCCCCCTCAGTGTGAGTCATGGACCGTCAGCCTAAGAGGCGCCTGCTTTACTAGCAGAGGTGGATCAATGGAACTGCGCTGAGTGATGAGATGATGTTCCTGAGTTCGCATGGCTTGATAAAAATCACCTGACAGCAGCCCTGCAAAGACTGACCCCCCCTGACTTCACTGTTTTTACTCACTGGACTGACTCTCCCTAGACGGACTCTCCCTGGATGGACTCTCCCTGGACTGACTCTCCCTAGACTGACTCTCCCTGGACTGACTCTTCCTGGACTGACTCTTCCGGGACTGACTCTCCCTAGACTGACTTTCCTTGGGCTGACTCACTGGACAGACTCTCCCTGGACGGACTCTCCTTGGACTGACTCTCGCTGGACTGACTCTCACAGGACTGACTCTGCCTAGACTGACTCTCCTTGGACGGACTCTTCCTGGATGGACTCTCCCTGGACTCACTCTCCCTGGACTGACTCTCACTGGACTGACTCTCACTGGACTGACTCTCACTGGACTAACTCTCCCTGGACTGACTCTCAATGGACTGACAATGACTCACTGGTGTCCCCCAGGGATGCCCGTTATCACCCTTTGACATTTACATTTTCGACACGGCCGTGTCCCTTTTTCTGAACCTGTTATTTTTCTAAACTCGGAAGCCGTGGACTGGAGGTGAGAGCCAGCGGGCGGTCCGGTCCTCACCATGGTGTTGCCGCCCCCGGACAAACGCCACGTGTGCCTGACCACCATCGTCATCATGACCAGCATGGCCTTCATGGACGCCTACCTGGTGGAGCAGAACCAGGGGCCCAGGAAGATCGGCGTGTGCATCATTGTGCTGGTCGGGGACATCTGCTTCCTCATCGTGCTGCGCTACGTGGCCGTGTGGGTGGGCGCCGAGGTGCGCACGGCCCGCCGCGGCTACGCCATGATCCTCTGGTTCCTCTACATCTTTGTGCTGGAGATCAAGCTCTACTTCGTCTTCCAGAACTGCAAGGCCGATAGGAAGTCCCTGGAGACGGTGGCCCGGAAAGCCTTGACTCTGCTGCTGTCTGTGTGCGTCCCGGGGCTGTACTTGGTTCTGGTGGCTCTGGACAGCATGGAGTACGTGAGGACCTTCAGGAAGAAGGAGGACATGCGGGGGAGGCTCTTCTGGGTGGCTCTAGATCTTCTGGATCTTCTGGACATTCAGGCCAACCTGTGGGAGCCTCAGCGGACCGGCCTGCCCATCTGGGCCGAGGGACTGATGTTCTTCTACTGCTACGTCCTCCTCCTCACCCTGCCCTGCGTCTCCCTCAGCGAGATCTCCACGCAAGGGGAGCACGTATCACCCCAGAAAATGATGCTTTACCCTGTCCTCAGCCTGATCACCATCAACGTGGTCACCATCTTGATCCGCGGGGTCAACATGGTGCTGTTCCAGGACAGTAGAGTCTCCACTATCTTCGTCGGCAAGAACGTGGTGGCGATCGCCACGAAGGCGTCCACCTTCCTGGAGTACCGGCGTCAGGTGAAGGAGTTCCCTCACCCGCAGAACGCCATGGCGTTGGAGCTGCAGCAGAACTCTGTGGGCCACAGACATATGCCCCACACGTCGCACTCGCAGCCCCTGGCCAACTCCACCAACCAGCCCCACGAACCCTCGCCAGCGTGTGACATCGACACATGACCGCCAGCACTGGACTGTCTAGACACCAGCGGAGCCTCTCCACCGCTGCCTTCAGTGACTAACTAAAACAGAACTTCTGGTGTGACTGGTTCTCTCTCTCTCTCTCTATCCATCCATCCATCCATCCCACTCTCTCTCTCCCTCTCTCTCTCCCCTCTCTCTCTCTCTCTCTCTCTCTCTCTCTATCTATCCAGTCTCTGAGAGTTTGGTGTTAAGAAATATGTGGGTTCCATGACAGGATGGTTTTCTTCTGCCTGTCAAGCCCACTTGAACAACAGAGGATGTAACAACTAGAGGGATATTTTCAGCCTCTGTCTGCCTGTTGGAGAAGGATAAAGATTCACCTTCTTGATTCTGACAGGAGGGAACTGATGTGGTTTTTATTGAATTGTTTTTAAATGAACAGTTTTATTCTGCAATTGAGTAATGTATGTTCTGTAACAGTAAATTTGACAATATGTACTTCCCTGAATATCTGTGATTTTCGAAAGGCCCCTTTTCGACCATCCATTGAGTGGCTTTTTTTATTTGTAGTCCTTAAAAAAGGAGGCATACCACTCGCCCTACAGAAGCACTCAGTTGAAGTGGAGAAAGAGAGGATGGAGAGGAGAAGAAGGGAAGGAGAAAGGGTCAATAAGAAGGGTGTGTTGGAGCTGTGGGGAAGGGTGGCAGTAGAAGAGGAATTCAGCCTCTGCTTGGTTCTGCTGCATCGGTCAGTGTGACACGTTACGACCAAATGGTTCTGCTGCCTCGGTCAGTGTGACGCGTTACGACCAAATGGTTCTGTTGCCTCGGTGAGCGTGACGTGTTACGACCAAATGGTTCTGTTGCCTCGGTCAGTGTGACGTGTTACGACCAAATGGATCTGCTGCCTCGGTCAATGTGACGCGTTGCGACCAAATGGTTCTCCTGCCTCGGTCAGTGTGATGCGTTACGACCAAATGGTTCTGCTGCCTCGGTCAGTGTGACACGTTACGACCAAATGGTTCTGCTGCCTCGGTCAATGTGACGCGTTACGACCAAATGGTTCTGCTGCCTCGGTCAGTGTGACACGTTACGACCAAATGGTTCTGCTGCCTCGGTCAGTGTGATGCGTTACGACCAAACGGTTCTGCTGCCTCGGTCAGTGTGACGCGTTACGACCAAATGGTTCTGCTGCCTCGGTCAGTGTGACGCGTTACGACCAAATGGTTCTGCTGCCTCGGTCAGTGTGACGCGTTACGACCAAATGGTTCTGCTGCCTCGGTCAGTGTGATGCGTTACGACCAAACGGTTCTTCTGCCTTGGTCAGTGTGATGCGTTACGACCAAATGGTCTGGTGCTTTCGGTCAGTGTGACGCGTTACGACCAAATGGTCTGCTGCCTTGGTCAGTGTGACGCGTTACGACCAAATGTCTGCTAAAAGCACCAGCGCTCAGCACTATACACTCTGCATGAGGCAGCCAACCATGTGTGTTATTCTGCATGTGTGTGTGCGTGTCTGTGTGCGTGTGCGTACACGTTTGAGGGGCAGAGGGGTGCTCATGTGAAACTGAATTTCAAGTTCAAGTTTTATTGTCAAATGCACAAGTACAGTGAAACGCTTCACTTGCAAGCTTTACCCAGCAGTGCTGTAATCAATATCAAAATAGTATAACTAATAAAAAATTTAAAATAAATTATAAATATAAATAAGAGAGGAAGCTACAGTTGAAGTCGGAAGTTTACATACACCTTAGCCAAATACATTTAAACTCTGTTTTTCACAATTCCTGACATTTAATCCTAGTAAAACTTCCCTGTCTTAGGTCAGTTAGGATCACAACTTTATTTTAAGAATGTGAAATGTCAGAATAATAGTAGAGATAATGATTTATTTCAGCTTTTATTTATTTTATCACATTCCCAGTGGGTCAGAAGTTTACATACACTCAATTAGTATTTGGTAGCATTGCCTTTAAATTGTTTAACTTGGGTCAAACGTTTTGGGTAGCCTTCCACAAGCTTCCCACAATAAGTTGGGTGAATTTTGGCCCATTCCTCCTGACAGAGCTGGTGTAACTGAGTCAGGTTTGTAGGCCTCCTTGCTCGCACACGCTTTTTCAGTTCTGCCCACACATTTTCTATAGGATTGAGGATGGCCACTCCAATACCTTGACTTGTTGTCCTTAAGCCAATTTGCCACAACTTTGTATATATGCTTGGGGTCAATGTCAATTTGGAAGACCCATTTTCGACCAAGCTTTAACTTCCTGACTGATGTCTTGAGATGTTGCTTCAATATATCCACAACATTTTCCTTCCTCATGATGCCATCTATGTTGTGAAGTGCACCAGTCCCTCCTGCAGCAAAGCACCCCCACAGCATGATGCTGCCACCCCCGTGCTTCACGGTTGGGATGGTGTTCTTCGGCTTGCAAGCAACCCCCTTTTTCCTTCAAACATAACGATGGTCATTATGGCCAAACAGTTATATTTTTGTTTCATCAGACCAGAGGACATTTCTCCAAAATGTACGATCTTTGTCCCCATGTGCAGTTGCAAACCGTAGTCTGGCTTTTTTATGGCGGTTTTGGAGCAGTTCCTTGCTGAGCGGCCATTCAGGTTATGTCGATATAGGACTCGTTTTACTGTGGATATAGATACTTTTGTACCTGTTTCCTCCAGCATATTTACAAGGTCCTTTGCTGTTGTTCTGGGATTGATTTGCACTTTTCGCACCAAAGTACGTTCATCTATAGGCGACAGAACGCGTCTCCTTCCTGAGCGGTATGACGGCTGCGTGGTCCCATGGTGTTTATACTTGCGTACTATTGTTTGTACAGATGAACGTGGTACCTTCAGGCGTTTGGAAATTGCTCCCAAGGATGAACCAGACTTGTGGAGGTCTACAATTTTTTTTCTGAGTTCTTGGCTGATTTCTTTTGATTTTCCCATGATGTCAAGCAAATAGGCACTGAGTTTGAAGGTAGGCCTTGAAATACATCCACAGGTACACCTCCAATTGACTCAAATTATGTCAATTAGCCTATCAGAAGCTTCTAAAGCCATGACATCATTTTCTGGAATTTTCCAAGCTGTTTAAAGGCACAGTCAACTTAGTGTATGTAAACTTCTGACCCACTGGAATTGTGATACAGTGAATTATAAGTGAAATAATCTGTCTGTAAACAATTGTTGGAAAAATGACTTATGTCATGCACAAAGTAGATCTCCTAACCGACTTGCCGTAACTATAGCTAAACAAGAAATTTGTGGAGTGGTTGAAAAACGAGTTTTAATGACTCCAACCTAAGTTTATGTAAACTTCTGACTTCAACTGTATATACAGGGTCAGTGCTAATACTAAATGTACAATGTGCAGGGATACTGAAGTATTTGAGCTAGATATGTACATGTAGGCAGGGTTTAGGATAAAGTGACTGGTAGCAGGATCCATAATAATAACAATAATAGTAAACAGTATGGCAGGAGTGGTGGGTGTGTGGGTGGGTAAGTAGGTGGGTGTGTGGGTGGGTGGGTGGGTGGGTGAGTTGGTGGGTGTGCGCGTGCGTCGTGAGTGTGTATGTAAGTAAGGGATGTGGGTGTTAGTGTGAGTGTGTGAGTGTGAATGCAAGTATGACAGTGTAGGCGTGATTTGGATGTACTGTAGCGTGTGTGGCTGAAACGCGGGTGTGAAAGAAACCTTACTGTATTTTCCTCCACAAGTAATCCTTGAAGTCAGAGAATGCGGAGTGCAGACAGCCTCATTAACAAACGTTAAAATATACATTTACAATCCAACCTGAAAACTGCAAACTATTTCTACTTAATTGATGAAGTGAGTATTAAAGTATTATTATTATCGTTATTACTACGTGTACATTCTTTACTAAATGTGTATGTTGGAGGCCAGTGATGTTTTAATAAAAGTATTCAAAGAATGTGAAGGCGTTGTCTTACTCTTAACCCACAGCATGTCGTGGTGTTGTACTCAGCATTATACAGAAGAGGAATGTAACCTTAAAAAACCCAAGTTCAAAGGTTGACAGACTATTTATCCATTCTGAGCAGGTTCCAGAATATACTTCTGTCTACAAGAAAATGACTTCACTCTCGTTTCTCTTTTTCAAAAGAAAACACATTAATTTATTTGCAGGCCAACTCAATTGAATTCAATTTTTCCAACGAGCCCTTTTATATTTTCTGTATTTTTCCAAAGGCACTATTTTTGATTTCTCGATTTTCTCTTGTCTGAACTCTTCTATGGTTGGTGAGCTATTTGCTGTTGCCTTGGAAACATTGTTTCATTGGCCAACCCTGGCATTATGGACAGAGAAGAAAAGTTCAGCCACGTGAACAATGTACTATTGTGTACCCAGAATGACACATGCAAAGATCAACCACAGGTACCAGCACTCTGAGACACACTGGAGAATCATCAGTGGCCTTTGACCCCATCAACAACAACTGACTGGCCTGAAAGTGACAGTACCCTTTAACCTACCATAATAAAACACAGAGACAGAGAGAGAGAGAGAGAGAGAGAGAGAGAGAGAGAGAGAGAAAGAGAGATAGATAGAGGAGATATAGATAGAGAGAGACGATAGGATCGCACTCTCCTATCTCGCCCTCGCTCGCTTTTCTTCGTCTCTCTATCTTTCTCTTCGCGCTTAGCTCACTTCTCACAGCTTCAGCTCTAGATCCGGACGAGACAAATAGAGAGGATAGAGCGAAATAGATAATAGTACGAGATACCAATGAGAGAGGAAGAGAGAGATGGATAGATAGGAAAGATGAGAGAGAGAGAGAAGATGAGAAGAGGGAGAGAGACAGATGAGAGAGGAGAGAGAGAGAGAGAGAGAGAGAGAGAGAGAGAGAGAGAGGGGGGGGAAGAGAGAGAGAGAGAGACAGATGAGAAGAGGGAGAGCACCTGATTACAGCAAATGCAAGAATGCCAATTCTCTTTTTAGCAGTGCCCTTTCAAATGTAGACTTTTGCTTTAGGATTAGAGAGGAAACATGCCAGACTACCATTGTGAAGATCACTGGCCTTACTAGATCGCACAAATATGGATTTGTTACATCTAAGCCTTGCTCTCAGTGGGTCTCTATCTCACGACCCAGCTGTCCCAAAAAGACACCACACAGTGTTAGATGAACACTTTTGTTTGAATAAATCTTGGATAAAGGAGAGAGAAAGTAAATGGACAACTTGGGGATAGGAATAAATGACCTGTAGCCGCCTCAGCATGAGCTCACCTTAGCAAGACCCCTTCGCAGCGCCAGACACATTCATAAATCAACCAGAGCTTCATCATCATCATCATCATCAGGAAGTTCATTGTGCTCCCTCCATACGCAATGGGGGTCGTGAAAACGCTTTCCTCTCTCCACCAACCTGTGATTTATTTTGCATCTCTAACTTTTGTGAAATATTCAATTTTCGACAACATTAATTCAGGACGGCGTGCATAGAGGCGAGGGAGAAGCCTCAGGAGAGTGAGCAAGTGTGGGTGTTGACCAACCTAAGGGACTGCTAACTCAACGCTTTCTCTGATCTCCACGTGGCTGCTCTGTCAAATCAAATCAAATTGTATTTGTCACATGCACCGATTACAACAGGTGTAGACCTTACAGTGAAATGCTTACTTACAAGCCCTTAACCAACAATACAGTTTTAAGAAAGAATACCCCCCCCCCCCTCCAAAAAAAAGTAACAAATTATTAAAGAGCAGCAGTAAAATAACAATAGTAAAATAACAGTAGGGAGGCTATATACAGGGGGTACCGGCACAGAGTCAATGTTAGTTGAGGTAATTGTCTGCTCTACTACGCCCCCAAACCCTCTAATCACTTAGCTAGCCACTCTAGCTGCCCTGAGCACAATACCACTTCCCAATGTGAGCAGGAGTCCCATCTATATGGACATACAGGTACTGGAGCTCTGTCCCAAATGGCACCCTATTCCTTTATCGTACACTACTATGACCAGGGCCCATAGGGCTTGAACACAACTTAATTATTATCCTTTTACAAATACAAAATATACACTTACTGTGCCCCGTTTTACCACAGATTTCTACAGAGGTTTTTTGTCTAACAGCTTTCAGCAGTTATTTTTTTCAATGGGGGGGGGGGTGGGTGGGTGGGGGTTCCCTCCCGAGTTTCCATTAGCTCAGGAAGTGCTGTAGCCTTGTTCAGGTAAATGTGCAACACTAAACACCTCAGTGGGAATCTGTGTTAAAACGCTGCACAGTAGGTGTATCTTTTGTATTTTTAAACTATTTTGGGGTGATATGAAAGCAGAGTTTCGGTGGTTTCTAAAATCGTATTTTCACGCAAGGATTATTAACAGTTAGACAGAGCATTGGGACTGTTGTAGGCCAACACATTGGCTGCACTGTGGTCAGTAGTTGGAATGAGAATGACTGGGGATGGCCCATTGGATTCTCAAGCGCTAGACACAACCCAGCAACAGGTCTCTCAATAAAAAAATGAAACTAATAAAACAGTGTATATAGGTCTATCTCTAAAGCAGTCAAACACTTTGTCTAAATTATGGATCATATCATGACAGTGCCAAAATATCCATTATAAACTGGGTGGTTCGAGCCCTGAATGCTGATTGACTGACAGCCGTGGTATATCAGGGGTATGACAAAACATTTATTTTTACTGCTCTAATTCCGTTGGTAACCAGTTTATAATAGCAATAAGGCACCTCTGGGGTTTGTGATATATGGCTTATATTCCACGGATAAGGGCGCATTGCGTCGTGCCTAAGAACAGCCCTTAGCCGTGGTATATTGGCCATATACCACACCTCCTCTGGCCTTATTGCTTAATTGAGACCTACGCCATCCATTTAGGCCCCTCTCTCTCCCAAACTCAGTTTTTGCTTTGCCTTGCCGTTTCAAAGACACAAAGCTCTGAGCACACAATTCATTCATCTATATTTCAGCAACAAATGCGCCGGTGTGCTTGGTCATGACTCATGACTGATGTGTCTGGCCCTGTTAAACCGAACTAAACACGAAGCGTACTACCAGCATCCTGCCCGGACATCCCGTCTAACCGTTGGTGTTCACGGTTTAAGATGGGTTCCTTTGTTTCTTCTTGTACCCACTGTCTTAGTGGAGTGCTGTGGTCCTGTAGCAGCGAGACTCATCAATCCTCACCTCTACAGCTCATTGTAAAGTCTTCCTGACCCAACCAGGACTAGTCAACAAGAAACGCTGATTTGTTTATAATGGTCAGTCAGCACTAAACCCATTAGAAAAACATGGGAGGGAACGAATGTCATGTAAAAAAAAATATTTATATATTATCACAAATGAATCAGATGGCATACAGAATCAAATCAAAATCTTCCAAACTCAACTCAAAAGGCACACTCTCTGAAACACAAATGGAAATGCAAAATCAAGTCTCCGTTTTAGTTGAGCAATAATGTCTCCACCCTTTAAAGGACAGAGTGATTTACTAGTGTAGTCTGTGTAATAATCCAGGAAGTAAATAGTCCATCGAGACAATGACACTATAAGTATGCCAGTTTATGTCAAATTGACATCAAAAGTTTTAAATGTTTGCATTTTAGCTAACCCTAACCCTTTCCCTAACCTTAACCTAATTATCCTAACCTGCTGCTTAAGTTCTCCTAACCTGTTACAAAAAGTCAATTTAGACATAAATTGTATTCTATCTAGTCAAAACCGCTAGGGAGTGACTGGGGTGGAGCCCAGAGCCTGGGCACATCTCAAGAAACCATGGAACATGTTTTTTGTTGCAAAACGTTATAAAACATTTTCTGTTCCATGCCCTAATATAAACGACCCTGGAGAGTCACACTGCAGTCTCTGAAAGTCTATTCATTCAGTGATATGGCCATTTCTCCCTGCATGTGGGATCTAAATGCTAAAATTGGAATGTCATAAACACAAATAAGAAATAATATGGAGGTGTGTGTCTCTGGAAATCTCTTTAATAAATCTGCTTTACAAAATGGATGACACAATGGCTGACCTAAACTTTTTTGCTGAATGCACCAATTTGTAAGTCGCTCTGGATAAGAGCGTCTGCTAAATGATGTAAATGTAAATGTAATCTAATTGCAAGGTTCCCAGACAGTTTTAGAAGACACATTAAATGGAACAGTATTCAGACCTGGCTGGCTAACCAGACACATCACTCCTACCAAACGCCACGCCCCCACTAACGTTTCTTCTTCACGATGAGTCTGGGTGTCGCGTTCCCCTGACATTGCATTGCATCAATCAATCGTTGCTCAGACGTTGCATTGCTACAACCAATGGTTGCTGCCACGTCATCAACTGTGCAGTCGGGCACCAGATTGCTGTAACATACTGTATGTTGTTAGCTGATATGTAAAATACATATTCAGGTGTTGTAAGATCTGTCATGCGTCAGAAACGTCTGAGCAGGGGAACACGACCTGAATATGATCACCTCCCGACTGCTTCTCGAACGCGAACACATTCAAGCCATTCTGATTGGTCTCAGAAACCGATGGGTTTGACCAGAGCCAGAACACACGTGGGTAAAGCGGCGTTTCGGAAATAGTAATTGGCTTTGATACTCTGATTGGTTAGAGACAATCCAATCGCTAATGACTTGTTTTGTACAACGCCCCTCACTTTGGCATCAGCAGAAAGGACATCTAGGATGGCAGTCTAACCGAATGGATCGTCAGAAAGGACTTCTAGCGTGGCAGTCTGACAATGTATGTACCAATAGATAGAGCAGGGGAATTAAATTCAGTAGGAGTCGTCAGGAAAATTCAGACCCAGAGACACTTAGGATTTTTTGGGGGTATTCGAGGGACATTTCCATTTTATTCATTTAGCAGACACTCTTATCCAGAGCGAATTAAAGGAGCAATTAGGGTTAAGTGCCTTGCTCAAGGGCATATCGAAATGTTTCACCTAGTCAGTTCAGGGATTCGAACCAGTGACCTTTCAGTTACTGGCCCAACACTCAATTGCTAGGCTACCTGCCGGGACCTTGAAGGTAGCCAGAAAGAGTACTTTTCAGAATACTCAGTACGATATTGGAGGAACAGATATTGGAGGAACACTATTTGAATGTCCGAAAATAATAGATAGTTCAAAGTCTGTTCTGTAAAATCATTTTTTGGGCTGACATTTACAATCTGTTCCTGACGAATCCATATTGCGCTTCAGACTTATATAAAACCATAAATATATCTAACACAAGGTGTCCTTTAAAAAAGAAAAATCAGGATTGAGGAAAGATTCAAACCATGTGCTGTGAGAAAGTACAAATTATACATATATTTATATAGATTTCATTTTGTTAAACAGATACCTGGAGGTTATGTTACACATTCCCTTTATTTTGGTGTCATCATCACAAGGTAAAACCAAGGAATTAGGTAACATTGACATTAACTTTTTGTACATGGTGTACTTTGAGTGCGTCAGAGAAACGACAATAGGCAACAGCAGCCCGGAATGCTCACCATCCATCACTTTGAGCAGAGCGATTTGCAAAAACAGCAGGACCATGTAAAAAAAGAACAGAGAACAAACACAAACAAAATGTCCCCAAAATACTACCACAGAGATGACTGGAAAAACATTTTTCTCCAGATCTCCAGAAGAGCAGTTGGACTACTAGCTGTATATAGGCCAAACTTCTAAACTGTCTATGCCATTCTCTCAGGATTTGGATGGGAGAGAAACAGGAGAGAGAGAGCAGAGAGTGAGATATTCATGAGATAAAGCAGTCCAAACGGAACGCTTGTTAGGGGCCATTGAGAAGAAGAGGATCTTCAGAGCACAAGATCACGCTTGAGAGAAGCGGGGAGAGAAGAGAGAGAGAGAGAGAGCGGGAGAAGCTTGTTAACAGTAATATGCTAGCCAAGAAGCTGTCTCATTAGAGGAAGACGCATCATTGGCTACATGGGGCCAAACATGCTGCTAGATCCAGATGGCCAGATCCCCGACGTGATGTGCGTGAATGGACCACGAGATGGTCACCCATCTTGGAGAAATGTGTAGATTAACAAAGTTAATATTGAAATCGAAAGGCAGTTGTGATGGAAATGGAACCATGCTTTGGCATTACAGTTTTCACTGTGGGTTTGGCGGATGCCAGGAGAACGCTACCTGCCCCACTGCATAGTGCCAACTGGAAAGTTTGGTGGAGGAGAAATAATGGTCTGGGGCTGTTTTTCATGGTTCGGGCTAGGCCCCTTAGTTCCAGCGAAGGGAAATCTTAACGCTACAGCATACAATGACATTCCAACTTTGTGGCAACAGCTTGGGGAAGGCCCTTTCCTGTTTCAGCACGACAATGCCCCTGTGCATAAAGTGAGGTCCATACAGAAATTGTTTGTCAAGATCGGTGTGGACGAACTTGACTGGCCTGCACAGAGCCCTGATCTCAACCCCATCGAACACCTTTGGGATGAAATGGAATGCCGACTGCGAGCCAGGCCTAATCGCCCAACATCAGTGCCTGACCTCAATAATGCTCGTGGCTGAATGGAAGCAAGTCCCCGCAGCAATGTTCCAACATGTAGTGGAAATCATTCCCAGAAGAGTGGAGGCTGTTATAGAAGCAAAGGGGGGACCAACTCCATATTAATGCCCATGATTTTGGAATGAGATGTTCGATGAGCAGGTGTCCACATACTTTTGGTCATGTGGTGTATGTAGACAAACACTACAGCTGAGAAATTCAAGTCAAAGCACAGCTGTCAACATCTGTATTAATTGCTACATTTAATATGTGACTTTAAAAAAAATCTTGTATTCAAGGCCGTTGAGACAAATGTACAGGAATTATTTTGCCATTTTATTTTTTCACGTTATTGCTTTACAGTAAAATGCATCGTTGAATATGTCCAATATAGAGACAATACATTCATATAAGTTATACAGATGTTTTCGATAATGTTTCATAGTAACTAACTTTAAATTAAATATATTATCATTATGTTTTATTTCTCATTTTTAATTGGTTGACAAATGACTCCCACATCACATTGAGCTCACAGTGCATCAGGTCGCATTCATTCAAGAGAATTACATACGGCTCCACTCCGGTGTTGAGAAGTCACAGTTATTGAACGTGTGTGTGGCCTACATTTTCATAGTGCAAACAAATTGTTGCTGAGTGCAAAAAATACAGTAAACCACTATAATCTGTTAGTTTGACAATTAACTTTTCTTCAACAATGTGTGCTATAAAGAGGTGATGTAACTACAGTTTAGTAAACTGAGCTTTTTAACACACATTGAAGAAAAGTTTTAAATTAAATCACACTACTAGATTATAAATTAGTTTTATGGTCATTTTTGCCCTAGGTGTGTGTAGATACGTGCACTTTTATTTTGTACAACATGGTTTCCATACAATCTGTATTTTTGATGCAGAGCTATGACATTTACGGCATCTGAATACTACTTCTTTTTAAAAAGTGAAAGTAAAGTTATGAGGCAGATTGCCTGGTGAATTATTAAACGGTGGTGTGTGTGGGTGTTGGAAGAGTTAGGACAGTCAAACAGTAGGAGCAGTGTGACCTGCTGTGCTGAGGTGTATTCATTAGTCGCAGACCGTTACAAATCATTTTGCCTGTTGCAAAACATTTTGCAATGGTAACCGTTTACTCTAGGAACCAAACAGGGAGGGACCTACCTGAATTTGTCCAATAGAAACTCTCGTTTTCGTTGCAAAACATTTTCCGTTTAGAGTAAACAGTTTCAGTTGCAAAACGTTTTGCAACAGACCAAACATTTTGCAGCGGTCTGGACTAATGAGTACACCCGTTGACACTCTCAGGACCTGGCAACGAGGGCCCAATTTTAAAGTAACCCCTAGACCCTATGCGCTATACACTTGTGGAGATCATAGACGGTTTGATTGGTATTAGCGCAATATGGTGAAACTTCCACCGAGCCTGGACGTTAGGTGGCTATGTGGAGCTATTACTTACAGCTGTCAAACCTTCTCATCTCTCCACAAGTACCTAGGGCCTAGGGGTCCATTTGGGATTGGACCAAGGACACAACCACACAGGTGTTGTACACAGACCCAAACCCACCGCTCAAAACCAACAGACAGACAGACAGACAAAGGGAAATGCACAAAATCAACAACCCCCCCCCCCCCAAAAGACATGAGACATTCTTAATCAACTCAGGTATACGCTTGACCCAAAAAGCGAGCATCATATGTTCAAAAAATATCTATGTATGTACAGTTAATAAGAACCAGTGAAAAGATTGAGAATGCAGTGGTCGTTACAAAGAAGACTACAATGAGAATCAGAATGGCACTAGCAGAGAATACTCTTTCACTGTTCTATGGGGAAAAGACCCACTGGGGTATATACAGTGCAGTAGGGGTAACTGCTATAAGTTGATGGTCGAGCGGGGTGAGGGGGACATGACACGGGATGGGGGTGGTCAGAGAGAGCATTGGGGTGTGATAAGGAGGGGTGAGGAAGGGGGGGCAATAGAGTCTTGAGGACCTGTGTGGTCACTTTCTTTCAAGAGAACACAGCAAGTCCAACCCCCCCCCCCCCCCCGCCCAAGAGTAGCATTTAGGTCCTGCTACTAAAATGTCTGCTCCTCAGGTCCTTCACACAGAGAGGAGATCTCTTTCCTGGAGAAGGAGAAGTTCAGAGTACGCTAGACTAAACCATCTGTAGCCAGCCTGGGGGGTGTTTCCCAGCTGGAGTCCTTCCCCTCCTCTCCTCAGGTAGAGTTGGTGGTTGAGTAATGCCCTTGTACCAGAGGGTCGGACTCCACCGAACACACAGAATCCCCCGTTCCAGAACATTTCCTCAATGTCCTCTGGCTCGGTCCTTTAGCTGTCATTCAGACCAACGAGCTCAAATGTTCCACTAACATTATGGCAACCCCCATGGAGGTCCTCCAGAGTCCAACACACATTACATTGAGATTGCATATACAAGTACCTGCTGCCAACACAAAAAGGAAAGACAAGTTATCATCATTAACACTCCCCTATTAATGCAAGTCTCTCCAGCTTATTGTAGACTCCGTTCCTGCAGGTGTTTTTGCATGATGTCAAATGTCTTAGATTGCAGTAGCCTGTAGCTGCCGTTTTTTATAAAGTGGGCGCAGGAAGGGGGGGGGGGGGGGGTTCGTGCCATGGAGGAGCCTGCATTTATTGTCCCAACATGCATTGCACTGCAGACAGAAACGGGTGTGTGCTCACGGTGTTGGAGGTTCAAGTTCAAGGGATTAGAGGTGGTGAGACCGACCTGGGCGCGGGCCTGCAAGTCAGCACACACCCTCGTCATTCTCTCACACACACTGTACATACAACCACACACACACACACAAAGGAAGCACTAGTTGATTCAGAATGAGAGGACGGCTTTGCTTGTTTTAAAGTGCAATATCTACATGTAATTCACAGAGAAAACACCACCTATGTCGCCCCCTACTGGAGCTGCAAGGCTCCAGATATTCCCTGATAACCAAACGGCTGTGGTTGCTTGAGACCCCTGCCATGCAGATAGATCAGTGAGGGAGCATTGCCCCCTGGTGGTCAAAGGGGGGATAGAGCAGACAGGAGAAGGAGAGAAGAACAGACCAATTCTCCCATCTGTGATACTATACACATTTCGCCATGCTACTGTCCAAAGACGTCCGAATATGGACACCGTCCCTAAGATATCCCCCAACTCAGTGACATATCCAGCGCATCTCTGGAGCAAGTGTTTCTTCTCTTCAGGTGTTGTGCAGTCAGAGGGGGTGTGTGAGAGATATCGGTCTCAGAACAAGAAAAAAAACAACAGCTGAACTTTCAGCACCACGGGTTTTGGAGTCGCCGCCTTCAGCCAGACTCCCCCCTTCTAGGGGCAGCCAATTCTCCTTACAATAAAAGCATTTTCTCTGTGCGCAATTCATTACTGTGAAACAGGCAATGTCCTTTATGATTGCAACAAGCTCTCCTCAAAGTATTTCATACTAGTCATTTTTTAACTCTAAAAAAAACTAAAATCCACAATACAAAAACGAGAAGAAAAAAATACTTTTACAAGTTTCCCCATTGTGCAGTGCTGCAAATATACATGATACTCTCTTCTGGCAGTCTCAGCTTTGAGTTGGACTGCAGACTCGTTAGACACAAAGATTCCTGACAAAATGTCTTTCTTAAGAGGTGATTGAGAGAAGGGAAAAGTTAAAGAGTAGAAAGAGAGATTGAGGAGTGAAAGTGAGTGTCTGGTGCAGAGGGGTGGGATGTAGTGATATGGATAAAGTCACAGTTCGGACCATGTCAGAGGGGTCCAGGTCTGAAAGGGGAGGAGGAGAGTTCCTCCTCCAAAGGTTGGGGGTACAAGCAGGAATCGGGGGAGAGGTAGAGGTTTAGGGCGAGGTTGTGTATTCTCCATAGGGTCTTTGGGTGGATGGGTGGGGTGGGGTTGGGATAAGAGGAGAAGTTTGGATGGAGAAGAGTAGAAGGGGTGAGGGTCAATGCTGAGGGTCAGGACTAACCCTAACCTGGACGGAGATATGTGTGGGTTGTTGTGAGAGGGAGACTATTGTTGCTACTGTAGGTTTGATTCTAGAGCCTGTGGGTGAATGCTAATAAAAGCACAGTGAGACTACAGATAGTGTGGAGGGGGGGGGGGGGAATGGAAAATGGACTTGTCTGAAAATGGGTCCAGTTTGTTTAATGCGTCTGTCCACTCCACAGAACAAAGCCTCATTGGAAAGTGAGTCCAAGCACAGGGAAAGAAAGATTTAAAGACCAGGATCAGATCAAGAGGTCAACAGGTCAGTTATGACAATGAAAGGTGGGTCAGACAGACAGGAGATATCCAGGTAACCAGGTTTAGTAACGTGGTGGAGGATGGGGAAGGTCGATTGTGATTGGTTGCTGTTTGGGGTTGAGGGAGTGGAGCTTCCTAGTTCAGAGGTCAGCGTGGGTGGGCGTGGTCTAGCTACTCCTCCATGCACATGGGCAGGTTGACGAAGGTAAACACGTTGTACTCAATCATAATGGAGAAACACAGGAAGACAGCGTACAGGACCAGGGTGTAGATACCCAGCTTCAGGTCCAACTTCCAGTGGTTCACGTGGATTCCCCCCACCTGCAGAGGGGAACACACACACACATACACATCATACATAGTCACTCTGCAGAGAGGAACACAGTACATCCTACATTGTCACTCTGCAGAGAGGAACACAGTACATCCTACATCGTCACTCTGCAGAGAGGAACACAGTACATCCTACATAGTCACTCTGCAGAGAGGAACACAGTACATCCTACATAGTCACTCTGCAGAGAGGAACACAGTACATCCTACATAGTCACTCTGCAGAGAGGAACACAGTACATCCTACATAGTCACTCTGCAGAGAGGAACACAGTACATCCTACATAGTCACTCTGCAGAGAGGAACACAATACATCCTACATTGTCACTCTGCAGAGAGGAACACAATACATCCTACATTGTCACTCTGCAGAGAGGAACACAGTACATCCTACATTGTCACTCTGCAGAGAGGAACACAGTACATCCTACATTGTCACTCTGCAGAGAGGAACACAGTACATCCTACATTGTCACTCTGCAGAGAGGAACACAGTACATCCTACATAGTCACTCTGCAGAGAGGAACACAGTACATCCTACATAGTCACTCTGCAGAGAGGAACACAGTACATCCTACATAGTCACTCTGCAGAGAGGAACACAGTACATCCTACATAGTCACTCTGCAGAGAGGAACACAGTACATCCTACATAGTCACTCTGCAGAGAGGAACACAATACATCCTACATAGTCACTCTGCAGAGAGGAACACAATACATCCTACATTGTCACTCTGCAAAGAGGAACACAGTACATCCTACATAGTCACTCTGCAGAGAGGAACACAGTACATCCTACATTGTCACTCTGCAGAGAGGAACACAGTACATCATACATAGTCACTCTGCAGAGGGGAACACAGTACATCCTACATAGTCACTCTGCAGAGGGGAACACAGTACATCCTACATAGTCACTCTGCAGAGGGGAACACAGTACATCCTACATAGTCACTCTGCAGAGAGGAACACAGTACATCCTACATAGTCAGCCGAACAATCAGACCTCTAGACACCTGACTAGGCTTATGCAAGGAACACTGATCATCTGACTATTTTACACACACACACACAGTTAAGAATGGGACAGAAATGTTCACATTGAATTTATACCATCATTTATCCAAAAAGTATGATCTTTGTCCCCATGTGCAGTTGCAAACCGTAGTCTGGATTGTTTATGGTGGTTTTGGAGCAGTGGCTTCTTCCTTGCTGAGCGGCCTTTCAGGTTATGTCGATATAGGACTCGTTTTACTGTGGATATAGATACTTTTGTACCTGTTTCCTCCAGCATCTTCACAAGGTCCTTTGCTGTTGTTCTGGGATTGATTTGCACTTTTCGCACCAAAGTACGTTCATCTCTAGGAGACAGAACCCGTCTCCTTCCTGAGCGGTATGACGGCTGCATGGTCCCATGGTGTTTATACTTGCGTACTATTGTTACAGATGAACGTGGTACCTTCAGGCGTTTGGAAATTGCTCCCAAGGATGAACCAGACATGTGGAGGTCTACAATTATTTTTCTGAGGTCTTGGCTGATTTCTTTTGATTTTCCCATGATGTCAAGCAAAGAGGCACCGAGTTTGAAGGTAGGCCTTGAAATACATCCACAGGTACACCTCCAATTGACTCAAATTATGTCAATTAGCCTACCAGAAGCTTCTAAAGCCATGACATCATTTTCTGGAATTTTCCAAGCTGTTTAAAGGCACCTTCAACTTAGTGTATGTAAACTTCTGACCCACTGGAATTGTGATACAGTGAATTATAAGTGAAATAATCTGTCTGTAAACAATTGTTGGAAAAATTACTTGTTGTCATGCACAAAGTAGATGTCCTAACTGACTTGCCAAAACTATAGTTTGTTAACAATACATTTGTGGAGTGGTTGAAAAACGAGTTTTAATGACTCCAAACAATGTCTATGTAAACTTCCGACTTCAACTGTATGTAAGCAATTACATTTTCCAATTAGCTGTGATTTAAGATACAGTACCTAAATTATGTTTTTAATTGCACATGGTCCCTTTAAACAAACTACTACTACTACTACAGTGCAACAGCACGCATGTTATGAGTACCTTATTAGCAAATTCATTAATTAATCTAATTATGCTTCCATTAGTGTAACTGAGCTTATTGCACACTTTTTTCAATAACACCAACTAATCACTCAAATCTAACACACACACACACACACACACACACACACACACACACACACACACCAAAAGTTTACACAGTAGCCTTACAGCATTATTCCTATCCAGAAAACAGAACCATACCAGTAAAATCTGGTTGCATAAAGCTACGGCCACTCAGAGACACATGAACACGTGCAAATAGTATATGCATTCATTACATTTTAGTCATTTAGCAGACGCTCTTATCCAGAGCGACTTACAGTTAAGTGAGTGCATACATTTTTCATACTGGCCCCCCGTGGGAATCGAACCCACAACCCTGGCGTTACATGCGCCATGCTCTACCTACTGAGCTACAGGAGGCCCTACAAAGTTGTATTTTTTTAGTGACCCAATTGACATTTTAGTCATTTAGCAGACGCTCTTATCCAGAGCGACTTACAATTAGTGAGTGCATTCATTTTTCATACTGGCCCCCCGTTGCATTATGTAAAAAGACGTTTGTCGTTGGACAATCTTCTCCGTCGTACATCAGTCAACGGATGACTCCATTGAAAAACCATTGGCTCAATTCATAATTTTAGGAAACAAAACAATTTTTTACGTATTGGGTGGTCCCGGGAATCGAAACCACTATCCTGGCATTACAAGCGTCATGCTCTGCCAACTGAGCTACAGAAGGGTATCTGCTCACCGTTAAAGCCACAGATCCCAGTAGCAACACCACAGAGTAGACCAGTCCTCGACTGTTGATCATGACCTAGAGGGGGAAGTCATAGTTAACGTTACATGGGGAATATTTAAATAATGCTTTGTAACTGAATGTTTAGAATTAGAACAATATTCAAAATTCTAAAAGTTGTCCCAACTCTCTAAATGCACGGCTCTAGTCATAGTTAACTCAAGGGGTGCATCTCAATAGTCTTAAGTGGCTGCCATGAGCAGAGGACGTTTTATACTATTGAGATACACTCCTAGTAGACGCGTGGGAGAGAGCTGGAGCGACAATAAGGTCAAGGACTCACACAGTACTGAAACACATCTTTACTTAGTTCTTAGACATGTTTTATTCCCTCTCCAAAACATGAGTGATGAACACGTGATTTAATTTGAGTGTATTCACTTCCAGAAATAACAAGTATTTACAGTGCATATTGAGTTAAAGTTGTACGACAGCTGTCCCCCCCACAGGGACAGCTGTCCCCTATACTCCCCCTATCCTAACCTTAAACCATTAGTGGGGGAAAATGCTAAAGTGATCCAAGATCAGTGTCCAGGGGCAACCTCACCCTATGCCGTTCCCTACAGCTGTTCTTACCTCTGAGCCGTAGTTGACCGCCATGGTCTGCAGTGCCCAGGGAACGCCCAGCCCAACCAGGATATCAAACACATTACTGCCAATGGTGTTGGACACTGCCATGTCACCCAATCCTAAACACAAATTGTTGTTGTTCAAATATAAGCATTACATAAAAACAACCTCCAGAATTAACTTGGAAAAGCCTTAAAACAAGAGTATTGCTAAAGATGGTACAGTCTGAAGATACCTCAGTCTCTAGGACCCCCCCCCCCAATTGAAAAAAGCCAATGAGTAGATGTCCTGGATTTCCCTCCTGTCAAACAGTTAAGGGAAATGACAGAAAGTAGAGCTGTACCTTGCCGAGCAACAATGAGACTGGCGATGCAGTCTGGAACGCTGGTGCCCGCTGCCAGGAAGGTGATTCCCATAATGACGTCTGGGATGCCAAGAGTGTAGCCGATGATGGTGACCTGTGACTCACACACACACACACACGTTACAACCGATAAGTGACCCCCCCCCCCCACACCACTCACACACCCCCCCACACACACTCCTCCACCCTCGACCCTGAGACTCACCATCCAGACCATGAAGTAGGAGAAGACAGCGATCCAGACAGTGGAGAGGAAGAAGGAGATCATGAAGAACTTCTCCCAGCGAGGCTTGGCACAGTTGGGGATGGTGAAGAACAGGAGGAGCAGCAGAGGCCAGGAGATCAGCCACTTGCACTTGCTGCCGATGCCATCTGCGGAACAGAAGTGGCAGGTAAAAATCTATCAAATGTATGTATTTATAAAGCCCTTTTTATATCCAGTCAAAGTGCTTTACAGTAACCCAGCCTGCCTAGTTTTTATATCCAGTCAAAGTGCTTTACAGTAACACAGCCTGCCTAGTCTCGAAGAGCAAGCAGAAGCACAGTGGCAACGAAAAAAAGGAACTAGATGGACCTACAACTCTAGAACAGTGTTCTGGTGAGCCACAGAGGTCTGCAGGTATTTGTTCCAGCCCAGCACTTATACAACAAATTTAAGTTATCAGCTACTTTAATCATCAAGCACTTGACAGTTGAAACAAGTGTGTTTCATACACAAACTTGGGCAGTGTTTTCCATGCACAACAGTCTGTCAGATCATTAGAGTTTGTCATGATATGATAAAGTCATTGGGGTAATTTGGGCAACACTGAAGAGGAAGCAAATGAGACCAATCTTGTCTTGACGACAAAACATTTCCTCAGTAACGTCAAACTCTGTCTGGATAAACATTACACTAATACACACAAACACACACACACCCGGGATATGAAAGGGGGAGATGGTTTCGTTCTCCTGCTCCTCTACTGCCGGTTTGTCTTCGGGCACGTTGCCGTTCTCAATGTCCACCTTCCCCTCCAGAACCTGGGTCTCCACCCCGTTGGCACCCTGGACCAGCTTCTGACGCTGTCAGGAAGAGGCAAAACAGGGCGCTGTTCATTACGGCACACATCGGAAAACTTCCAGGGGTGAATTCATTAGTGGCAGACCGTAGCACAACTTTTGGCCTGTTGCAAAACGTTTTTCAACTGAAACAGTTTACTCTAGGAACCAAATGGAAACAGAAGGAAGCGGAACGAAACAGGGAGGGACCTACAAGAATTTGTCCAATAGAAACTCAATTCTTTGTTGCAAAACTTATTCCGTTTGAAGTAAACAGTTTCCGTTGCAAAACTTTTTGCATCAGACCAAACGTTTTGCTACTGTCTGCGACTAGTGAATACACCCTAGGTAGACCCCCCTGTTTCAGTCAGATTTGTTCTGTTTGGTGTCTAATGAACACAACCCAGGTAGTCAACAGTACCACAATGAAAGCACTATAAAAATCTATATCTGAGACCATTGGATTCTCTAACATGGAAACTATTCGCTCCTCATCTATTTCCTATAGTTGCATCCCTATCTATCCGTACCTCAGTGATGATAAGGCGACTGGCCATGCGCAGCCGGGTCTTGGGTCCAAAATGGCTGGTGACCATGACGCGGAGGCCGGCCTCTGGGAAGCGTAACTTGGGAGGGCTGTCGTGCATAATCTCATCAACCATGACCACAGAGCCACGACTGTAAGCCTTACTGGGCTTAACTGGAGATGGACGGACACGTTAGTCCTTCAAACTGACATACACACAATCATGCTAGCAAAAAACGCCAAACACCAAACATCCATTGAAGTAACTGTCCAGTGAAAATCTCCCTTTTAAAAGTTCATATTCTGTTAACTCATACCCAAATAATGTTGTTGACTCATCCTATACTCGTATTTGTGGCCAAAGCATAAATTGGAGAAAAAAAACTATTAAAAACTATCTCTGCTTGCCATTTCCTCAGGGGATGTCGTCATTCTCTTAGTAATTTTTTTGGGGTAAACTCTTTTGTAGAAAGACATGACTTTACAATTTCAAATGACTGAAAATGTTTGTATTCAGTGCATTGTTAGTTGTTTGGATATCATCTATATCTAGGCCAATATGAGCAGGACAATTTTTTAAGTAAGAGAATATTTAACCTTTAACATTTAACTCGTCTTCTCATGAGATTAAAGTATTGTTTACAGTTTTACTGCAAGATATGAATTGCCACAATGATGTTTCTTCTTAAAATGATGTATTTTATTAAAACAGAAAAATGAAATGAAGTAAATAGCCCACATTATCTTGAAAAGGAAATAAAATGCTACATTGAAAAAATATGAATATCAGTCTTAAGTATATCTTTCAGATTTTATATAGCCTAAATTATTTTAAAATGATTAGATAGGGCCCTGTAAAATATACAGTGAGCTCCTAAAGTATTGGGACAGTGACAAATTGACTGGGGTTAAACTGCAGACTGTCAGCTTTAATTTGAGGGTATTTTCATCCATAAATCGGGTGAACCCTTCAGAAATTGCAGCACCTTTTGTACATAGTCCCCACATTTTAGGGGACCAACAGTATTGGGACAAATTCACGCATGTATATTAAAGTAGTCAAAAGTTTAGTATTTGGTCCCCTATTCCTAGCATGCAATGATTACAAGCTTGTGACTCTACAAATTAGTTGGATGCATTTGCTATTTGTTTTGGTTGTGTTTCAGATAATTCTGTGCCCAATAGAAATGAATGGTAAATAATGTATTGTGTCATTTTGGAGTCACTTTAATTGCAAATAAGAATAGAATATGTTTCTAAACATTTTTACATTGATTACTCCATGGATATAGTCCTGAATGATGAGTTTGAAAGTTAGACGCACAAATATCATACCCCCAAGACATGCTAACCTCTCACCATTACAATAACAGGGGAGGTTACATTTTTTTTTTTGGGGGGGGGGGGGGGTATGATATTAATCACTCATCATTATTCATGATTCCATCAGGACTATCTGTAATCATGGAGTAATCAATGTAAAAGTGTTTAGAAAGTGTTTATTCTTATTTACAATAAAAGTGACTCCAAAATGCCAATACATTATTCACCATTAATTTCTATTGGGCACATAGGACTCTGAAACACAACCAAAACAAACAGCAAATGCATCCAACAAGTTTGTAGAGTCACACGCTTGATGTAATCATTGCATGCTAGGAATAGGGGACCAAATACTAAACGTATGACTACTTTAAGACTGTGTACAAAAAGTGCTGTAATTTCTAAACGGTTCACCCTAAATGGATTAAAATACCCTCAAATTAAAGCTGACAGTCTGCACTTTAACCTCAGTCTTGGATCATTTCAAATGCAAAGTGCAGGAGTACAGAGCCAGAACAACAACAAATGTGTCACTGTCCCAAAACTTTTGGAGTTCACTATTTGTTTGTTGTTCTTTCCCAAATTCAGTTCTCCATTTTGTTTTTCCAGGTTTCTGTTTTTCACTCTCAAAATCAAAAAAAACTTTTTTTATAAATAGAAAAACACAATTTGATGTTCGAAGTCCACAACAATGCTTAAACCACATCAGGAGACAACTTTTGAGGTCTGTGAAAAATCTGAGAAATGTTGAGATTTGGGTGTAGTTTTCCAGTGTGCAAAAGGCTGTTGTTTAGTGGTGTTTTTGTAGCACACATGATGGTAGAGTTTGCTAAACAAATACCCACTGGATTGATGAAAATAATCATGATATTCTGGCCCGATACTTTGTAGTTACCATTTAATTGAGAAGTTTTTTGGGAAAGCCTTTCCATCTACTGGAAGACGTTTCATTAGCATCATCACTAACGGCTACACAAAGTGGTATATGCGCACACAAACGGGCATTCTCATTGCCTCTTCAGAAAGTTGCACGAAATACGAATCATTGATGCATTCTGTTCATGTCCTATGTTAATTCATTTTTTCCAAGTTTAATTTTCAATACATTTAGTGGATTCCCTAGTAAGGCCAATAAAACATTTTAATATTGTTGAATTCCATTTTAATGCCTAGATTCTGTGAGAAGCCTACAAAAGGGAAGCACAGCCGTGAGCTGCCCAGTGACACGAGCCTACCAGATGAGCTAAATTACTTCTATGCTCGCTTCGAGGCAAGTAACACTGAAACATGCATGAGAGCATCAGCTGTTCCGGACGACTGTGTGATCACGCTCTCCGTAGCCGATGTGAGTAAGACCTTTAAACATGTCAACATTCACAAGACCGCAGGCACAGACGGATAACCAGGACGTGTACTCCGAGCATGTGCTGACCAACTGGCAAGTGTCTTCAATGACATCTTCAACCTCTCCCTGTCTGAGTCTGTAATACCAACATGTTTCAAGCAGACCACCAAAGTCCCCGTGCCCAAGAACACTAAGGTAACCTGACTAAATGACTACCGACCTGTAGCACTCACGTCTGTAGCCATGAAGTGCTTTGAAAGGCTGGTCATGGCTCACAACACCATTATCCCAAAAACCCTAGACCCACTCCAATTTGAATACCGCCCCAACAGATCCACAGATTATGCAATCTCTATTGCACTCCACACCGCCCTTTCACACCTGGACAAAAGGAACACCTATGTGAGAATGCTATTCATTGACTACAGCTCAGCGTTCAACACCATAGTACCCTCAAAGCTCATCACTAAGCTAAGGACCCTGGGACTAAACACCTCCCTCTGCAACTGTATCCTGTACTTCCTGACGGGCTGCCCCCAGGTGGTAAGGGTAGGTAACAACACATCCGCCATGCTGATCCTCAACACGGGGGCCCCTCAGGGGTGCGTGCTCAGTCCCCTCCTGTACTCCCTGTTCTCCCACGACTGCGTGGCCAAGCACGACTCCAACACCATCATTAAGTTTGCCGACGACACAACAGTGGTAAGCCTGATCACAGACAACAACTAGACAGCCTATAGGGAGGAGGTCAAAGACCTGGCAGTGTGGTTCCAGGACAACAAGCTCTCCCTCAACGTGATCAAGACAAAGGAGATGATTGTGGACTACAGGAAAAGGAGGACCGAGCACGCCCTCATTCTCAATGACGGGGCTGTAGTGGAGCAGGTTGAGAGCTTCAAGTTCCTTGGTGTCCACATCACCAACAAACTAACATGGTCCAAGCACACCAAGACAGTCGTGAAGAGGGCACGACAAAACCTATTCCCCCTCAGGAGACTGAAAAGATTTGGCATGGGTCCTGAGATCGTCCACAGGTTCTACAGCTGCACCCTTGAGAGCATCCTGACTGGTTGCATCACTGCCTGGTATGGCAACTGCTCCGCCTCCAACCGTAAGGCGCTACAGAGGGTAGTGAGTACGGCCCAGTACATCACTGGGGCCAAGCTTCCTGCCATCCAGGACCTCTATACCAGGCGGTGTCAGAGCAAAGCCCTAAAAATTGTCAAAGACTCCAGCCACCTTAGTCATAGACTGTTCTCTCTGCTACCGAACGGCAAGCGGTACCGGAGCGCCAAGTCTAAGACCAAGAGGCTTCTAAACAGTTTCTACCCCCAAGCCATAAGACTCCTGAAAATCTAATCAAATGGCTACCCAGACTATTTGCATTGCATCGACTTTATTCAGTCAGTTTATAAAAACTAGTCAACACTTGCTGTTCAGTTGTCAATCAAAGCACAGTAAATAGCCTATGTTCCACGACTCCGCGTGGCTGGCTATGTGAAAGAAAATAAATGAATGTGCCATAAAACAATTAGGCTAATTTGATTTCGACTCATCGTTACCACTTACATTACATGGGACACGGAAATTCACGAGCATCATGCCCTCTCCCTCCTCTGTGTAAAGAAATCTGACTGCAACCAACCACCGTGCACACAAATTGTAACGGGAGGCGAGACAGACAGCAGACTGCGTTTCCCTGTCATCGCTTGCTTTGTGACTGACAGGCACCTATCCTATCAAAAGATAGCTAGAAGATGCATAAAATCGGTCATTCTAGCGGGAGAGGGCTCGACGGACTAGCGAATTGAAACTTTTAAATGAAACATAGCCTAGTTAATATGAAGTTGAAAAGGTAGCCGGCTGAAAATGAGTAACCGGCTGATTAGAGGACGGCCGGTGCTAATGGAAAACACTGTTCCAACCCAGAAAATATGCTTTTTAACATAATTGTAAAAAAGTTGGAAGGAAAACTATTTCACTCATACTGTAATGAAATATTGGTAATATCTAATTGAAATCTGGAAACACTGGACAGTTACTTTAATGTGTAAAAATGCCTTTTTGTGTTTACACATACTCCTAGTAAAATGCCTGGATGCAGGGTCTGATAAGGGTTCTATATTCAATTCTTAAGAGTTTATTAATTAGTGCCTTTGGAAAGTATTCAGACCCTTGACTTCTTCCAAATTTTTTTAACGTTACAGCCTTATTCTAAAATTGATTAAATTGTATTTTTTCACCCCCTTCATCAATCTACACACAATACCCCATAATGACAAAGCAAAAACAGGTTTTTACAACAAAAATAACTGAAATATCACATTTACATAAGTATTCAGACCCTTTACTCAGTACTTTGTTGAAGGCACCTTTGGCAGGGATTACAGCCTCAAGTCTTCTTGGGTATCATGCTACAAGCTTGGCACACCTGTATTTGGGTAGTTCCTCCCATTCTTCTCTGCAGATCCTCTCAAGCTCTGTCAGGTTGGATGGGGAAGCGTTGCTGCACAGCTATTTTCAGGTCTCTCCAGAGATGTTCGATCAGGTTCAAGTCCGAGCTCTGGCTGGGCCACTCAAGGACATTCAGAGACTTGTCCTGAAGCCACTCCTGCGTTGTCTTGGCTGTGTGCTTAGGGTCGTTGTCCCTGTTGGAAGGTTGAACCTTCGCCCCAGTCTGAGGACCTGAGCAATCTGGAGCAGGTTTTCATCAAGGATCTCGCTGTACTTTGCTCCGTTCATCTTTGCCTCGATCCTGACTAGTCTCCCAGTCCCTGCCGCTGAAAAACAACCCCACAGCAGGATGCTGCCAGGTTTCCTCCAGAAGTGACGATTGGCATTCAGGCCAAAGAGTTCAATCTTGGTTTCATCAGACCAGAGAATCTTGTTTCTCATGGTCTGAGAGTCCTTTAGGTGCCTTTTGGCAAACTCCAAGTGGGCTGTCATGTGCCTTTTACTGAGGAGTGGCTTCCGTCTGGTCACTACCATAAAGGCCTGATTGATGGAGTGCTGCAGAGATGGTTGTCCTTCTGGAAGGTTCTCCCATCTCCACAGAGGAACTCTAGAGCTCTGTCAGAATAACCATTGGGTTCTTGGTCACCTCCCTGACCAAGGCCCTTCTCCCCTGATTGCTCAGTTTGGCCGGGCGACCAGCTCTAGGAAGAGTCTTGGTGTTTCCAAACTTCTTCCTTTTAAGAATGATGGAGGCCACTGTGTTCTTGGGGACCTTCAATGCTGCAGATATTTTTTAGTATCCTTCCCCAGATCTGTGCCTCCACACAATTCTGTTGCGGAGCTCTACAGACAATTCCATCGACCTCATTGCTTGGTTTTTGCTCTGACATGCACCGTCAACTGTGGAACCTTATATAGACAGGTGTGTGCCTTTCCAAGTCATGTCCAATCAATTGAATTTACCACAGTTGGACTCCAATCAAGTTGTAGAAACGTCTCAAGGATGATCAGTGGAAACAGGATGCACCAGAGCTCAATTTCTAATCTCATAGCAAAGGGTCTGAATACTTATGTAAGTATGGTTTGTTTTATTATGTTTAATACATTTGCAAAAAAATTATAAAAACCTGTTTTCGCTTTGTCTTTATGGGGTATTGTGTGTAGATTGCTGAGGAATTTTTTTATTCAATCAATTTTAGAATAAGGCTGTAACGTAACAAAACGTGGAAAAAGTCAAGGGGTCTGAATACTTTCCAAAGGCACTGTATATAGAAATTGACATGCATACATTAACTAAGTAAACAAAGCTGACAGAAGCATTCCCTATATTTGGATATGTATTACCATAAGTCAGTGGGTTGATACCTCAAGAGACAAGCAGAAAAACATACTGCAGAGAAACACACTGAAATCTAGCATGCAGAAACACTCACTACATACAATAAGCAACAGAAGGTTTAGTAAGGCTAAACAGACAGGCACTTTGACATTAGTGGAAAGAAAGCGGAAGATATGGGTCTCATCTACACAAGTTACATCCCGCTTATGACATTAATACCTAGATGGCTAGGTTGAGAGCGAGACAGGGAGCTAGAAAGAGGCAGATAGAGAGAGCAGAGTACTGTGGTAGGTACCTCTTATCCAGTATTAGTCAGCGTAGTAGATGGGGGACTGTAGAACTGCAACACCTTCACCACACTGACAGAGGAAGTCCTACCCAAATCCCATGAACCCACAAGTCCATATTCCAACCCACCTTCACTTCCACAACCCAACCCAACTCAGCCAAGCTCTTTGCGATTGAACCAAAACAGCCATTCCCTCAAACGCATTTGATCAAAAAACAACCAATAGTTCATCTTAGCCCAAGTCCATTTTGGGAATTTGAAAGAAGACCAGTAGAGAATGTCTTCGAGAAGCCTTGGCGTGTACTATAGCCTGTCTGGTCAGCCTTACCTGCTGCTGTGCTGAGTATAGGTAATGAGGGGTCGTCATCCCCATAACAGGCTGTTTTACCGTCCTCCATCTCGCTGCTGGCCGCCGCGTTACCGTTGGCCTGGTTCTTGTCTTTACCCCCTTTCCCTGTGAACAACTTTTGCAAGCTCTGGTTAAACCTGGGAGAAGAGGGGAGAGAGGGACACTGGTCATTGGCTCCCTTGTTCATCAACAGCCAATAACTGAACTGTATGCAGTCGTGTGTGAATTCTAGGGACCAGTTTCCTGGACACAGATTAATACATTGACTTAATTCTCCATTTTAAAAAGGTGTTTTAGTCCAGGACTAGGTCTAATCTGGGTCCGGTAACCTGGCCCTATGTATACAGTAAACTGCAGCAAAATTGTTACAACTGTTCATGTGTACAATAACTGTGACAAACTCAGGTCCTGCAACTTCTGGGGAACGTGAAACCATGTTCTATATTTTACATCCTGTGTATTCACACTTATTTTGATAGGATATACAGCAACCCCTATGGACAGAATAGTCTGAAATAGTCAGTGAGTAGGCTATTTTCCGAGTGGCATTCATAATGGGTCATAGAAGGGCAGTCTGAGAACTCCTTTCCTCCTAACTAGACAGGAGACAAGTGATATCCAGTTAAGCCTGGTTCTCTTTAGCCACGGCAGAGGGAGGATTAAAGACTTATGGCTGGGCTGGGAGTGAGCAGGCTGGGGCTGAGAGACAGATTACTGGCAGCAGAAGTGACCTGGATGAACCAAGGCAAAAACAGACAGACCAAACCCTTCCGGCCCCCAGAAAATCAGGGGGGACTCAAATTCATATCTTTGCATTGAGTCTTTGTATATTTCTTAGAAATATATAAGATATCTTAAAGAGATATTACAGAAATGTAAACCTCCCGCTTTGGGCTGGATGTTTCAATGTGTAGTTCATACATGTACAATATATCACCAGAATTACTGTCTTACCTCAATTAGCCACCAAATCACTTGTGTGTTTACTGGAAGCTGTGCTTTGCCATTTTCCCTACATTTTCCCCCACATGGGCCAGCCCCCTAGCAATTCAAGTTCTAGCCAATGAGCTTCACCCCCTCGCCATTTGAGTGACAGCTAGCAAGATTAACACACAGCAGAGCGAGAAAGCAATGACGTGGTGCAAAAGCATGTGGACACGCCTTCAAGTTAGTGAATTTGGCTATTTCAGTCACACCCATTGCTGACAGGTGTATAAAACTGAGCACACAGCCATGACATCTCCATAGACAAACACTGGCAGTAGAATGGCTCGTACTGAAGAGCTCAGTGACTTTCAACGTGGCACCATCATAGGATGCCACCTTTCCAACAAGTCAGTTTGTAAAATTTCCAAGTTTGTAAAACTGGGTTTGGCAGATGCCAGGAGAACGCTACCTGCCCGAATGCAGTGCCAACTGTAAAGTTTGGTGGAGGAGGAATAATGGTCTGGGGCTGTTTTTCATGGTTCGGGCTAGGCCCCTTAGTTCCAGTGAAGGGAAATGTTTATGCTACAGCATACAATTACATTCTAGATGATTCTGTGCTTCCAACTTTGTGGCAACAGCTTGGGGAAGGACCTTTCCTGTTTCAGCATGACAATACCCCCTGTGCACAAAGCGAAGTCCATACAGAAATGGTTTGTCGTGATCGGTGTGGAAGAACTTGACTGGCCTGCACAGAGCCCTGATCTCAACCCCATCGAAGACCTTTGGGATGAATTGGCACACCGAATGAGAGCCAGGCCTAATCGCCCAACATCAGTGCCTGACCTCACTAATGCTCTTGTGGCTGAATGGAAGCAAGTCCCCGCAGCAATGTTGCAACATCTAGTGGAAAGCCTTCCCAGAAGAGTGGAGGCTGTTATAGCAGCCAAGGGGGGACCAACTCCATATTATTGCCCATGATTTTGGAATAAGATGTTCGACGAGCAGGTATCTGGCCATGTAGTGTATCTGCACATATGTGAAGAAGTACACAATTTTTTGGGGGGACCACTTTTGGATCATTAGCTCTACTTTCAGAACTACTGGCTAAAAATTAAACAAAAGTACCGGATAATTTCTTCAAGATATCCCCCCTCAGTTTCATTGGCCGCCCTGAGTTTTGTTGTGTCACAGACTTAGTAGTGCATTACTTACTTCATGATGAGGATGTATCCACAGTACATGAGCACCAACACCAGGCTCTCCCACCTGAGACGGACAGAGGAGCACAGGGCCAGACACAACCAATGAAATCCCGTTATCTCCAAATCACCCAATATAGACCAATGAAATCACATCACAGTAACCCAATAAAATCACTTCATATCACCCAATAAGGAGCAGAGTTCAGGTGCACAACCAATGAAATCCCATCATATCAAGGTAATATTTCAAAAGGGCTGATCACTTACCACACCACCTTCTCATCGTAAATGAACTGGGGAACAAGAGCATAGGCAGAAATTAAAACAATGCCAGTTAGGGATTATTCAATAAATACAGTGTTTATGGTCGCAATCAGTACATGTTACATGCATTTTGAATTGTCAGACTTACCGCAATAAGCGCGAGGATAGACAAGATGTAGTAGAATGAATCTCGGAATACAGACCACCAACCCAACATTACGACCTAGAAAGAGAAACAGTCCCTGTATACAACCTGAAGTGTCTCAGACTAGAAGTGCTGATCTAGGATCAGGTCCCCTTGTCTACGTACAGTGCATTCGGAAAGTATTCAGACCCCTTGACTTTTCCAACATTTTGTTACATTACAGCCTTATCATAAAATTGATTGAAATTGTTTTTTTCCCCCCTCATCAATTTACACACAATACCCCATAATGACAAAGCAAAAACAGGTTTTTAGAAATGTTTTACAAATGTATAGAATAAAATTAACGAAAAATATCAGCTTTACATGAGTATTCAGACCCTTTCCTCAGTACTTTGTTGAAGCACCTTTGGCAGCGATTACAGCCTCGAGTCTTCCTGGGTATGACACTTCAAGCTTGGCACACCTGTATTTGGGGAGTTTCTCCCATTCTTCTCTGCAGATCCTCTCAAGCTCTGTCAGATTGGATTGGGAGCGTTGCTGCACAGCTATTTTCAGGTTTCTTCAGAGATGTTCGATCGGGTTCAAGTCCGGGCTCTGGCTGGGCCACTCAAGGACGTTCAGAGACTTGTCCCGAAGCCACTGCTGCCTTGTCTTGGCTGTGTGCTTAGGGTCGTTGTCCTGTTGGATGGTGAACCACCCTAGTCTGAGGTCCTGAGCGCTCTGGAGCAGGTTTTCATCAAGGATCACTTTGTACTTTAGTTAGGATCGAGGCAAAGATTAACGGAGCAGTCTCCCAGTCCCTGCCACTGAAAGACATCGTCACAGCATGATGCTGCCACCACCATGCTTCACCGTAGGGATAGTACCAGGTTTCCTCCAGATGTGACGATTGGCATTCAGGCCAAAGAGTTCAATCTTGGTTTCATCAGACCAGAGAATATTGTTCCTCATGGTCTGAGAGTCTTTAGGTGCCTTTTGGCAAACTCCAAGCAGGCGGTCACATGCCTTTTACTGAGGAGTGGCTTCCATCTGGCCACTCTACCATAAAGGCCTGATTGGTGGAGTGCTGCAGAGATGGTTGTCCTTCTGGAAGGTTCTCCCATCTCGACAGAGGAACTCTGGAGCTCTGTCAGAGTGACCATCGGACCCTTCTCCCCCGATTGCTCAGTTTGGCCGGGCGGCCAGCTCTAGGAAGAGTCTTGGTGAATCCAAACTTCTTCCATTTAAGAATGATGGAGGCCACTGTGTTCTTGGGGACCTTCAATGCTACAGAATTTTTTTGGTACCCTTCCCCAGATCTGTGCCTCGACACAACCCTGTCTCAGAGCTCTGCGGACAATTCCTTCGACCTAGTTCAGCACTCCTGCTCTTTGTGAATACTGGCCCAGAAATATGCTTTCCAAGACTAACGATGGCTGTGAGAAATTGTTAAACTACCAGACATCTGGACATGGTTCCCCTACTTCTCAGTCCTAAAGTGATCCAAACGCAAATGCTGCACTATACGAGACCTGCATGCACACATGCATACGCACACAGAAACACAAAACACAGAAACACAAACACCCACACACCTGTCCGGCGAAGATTCCGCACACACCGATGATGCACAGGATATTGAAGACGGCTGAGCCAACGATTGTCCCCACCCCCACGTCACCGTGGGTGATGAAGACACCTGCACAGAGGGAGGCAGCCAACCACAATCAGCCCTGACAACAGCCATCTGGGAGATGTGGTGTGTGTGTGTGTGTGTTTTTTTTTTTTTGGATATATTGGTGTGTTAAACTCTGGTGAACAGATGCACGTAGAGCCTGTCAACAGACTGTGGGATGCGATGATTAACAAGGAACATTTTCCGGTGCGTAGATTGTTTTTGGCACTGAACATTTGGACAAAGCACAATTTTGCAGGTGTTCACATCTTTTGAATTTCAGAAGGGAGAGGGGACATTTGGTCCATGCTTTGTCTGAGAGTTTCCGTTTAGGGGGGGGTGGAGACTTCTCTAGTCTGGTTAATATCTTATCTCATACATCTCTCCCCAGAACATAATCCAGCATCTGACGCAATTATACACGATTTTACTTCTGGGTTTCAGAGATTATGTGTCGATGTAAGTGAGTGTGTGAGTGAGCCTGTGTGTGCCGGTGTGTGCGTGCGGTGGTGTGTCATATCTTACCAATGACGGAGGCAAACAGCTCTGGAGCAGAACTCCCAGCTGCCATAAAAGTGGCTCCGGCAACATCCTCACTTAGATCTAGTTTCTGACGGACAGAAAGAGAGGAGAGAAAGAGAGGAGAGAAAGAGAGGAGACCAGAGTGCTTATTCAGGGTGAGCTTCCCAAAAGCTTTGTAGTTAAATGTGGCACTTCATTTATCTCCACACCCAAACCAATCATAGAATAGCGAAGTACTTCATTAGGAATATTTCATTCAGTTCTCACAAAGAATATTGATTATCTAAATTATTACTTGAGAAGTAAAGTGCCACCCTAGCTACTAGCTACTTAACAGAAAACTCACCCGTGTTAAAAACATAAGGCTAGGGTCACAAGGACCTAATATCTCTGGCCAGTTTCACCAGATTGTGTTCTAACAAGGGTGGGGGAAAACTGTCTCACCTCACAGATCTTCTCCAGCGATGTCACAAAGTAGTCGTCACAGATTATAGCCAGGGCCAGGAACATATAGAGGGCCTGTGGAGAGACGGGAGACAATAGTCAGGGTGTCTGTGTGTGTGTGTCTGTGTGTGTGTGTGTGTGTGTGAAACGTTAACTCAGCATTAATTGGCTGAACTGATAGGAAACTTGGCAGATCAAGGATTTTTACTGAAGATGGAATGTAGGAGAGGTGAAGGATGACCCTAGAGAACACTATCGACCAATCCCAAATCGACCCCTAGCACATACCTGCTAGGTATGATGTAGATCTGAGAGGATTAGAAACATCTAGGATCCCATACATAAGGTAAGAAATGTGGAGAAGATTCTACCTAACATATGTGAAGGATGTAACAGCTACTACTAGGTAGAATAACACCCATCTGATCCTCTGATTTGGGATTGATCCAATCATTTTGAAAATTGTATGTCATTGCTTAGATATTAACTGCAGTGCGTACTGCATAATATCCCCCTAGCCTGGTCCCAGATATCAGTTTGCGCTGTATAGCCTTCTCCTATGATCATTGTCTTGTCAAATAACCATAGCAGTTGGCAAGACATCACAAAGAGATCTGTGACCAGGCAATTGTTCCTTAGCATTGTGTGAGTGAGAAAACCCCCCCAATTATATTTCAGTACAGCTGACGTGATAGATATATAAATTATAGATCAAGACTGTCATCACGGGGCTGCAGAGAGGTTGATGTGCTCCAACCCATCCACAGGGGGCACTGTAGGACCAGCAAATAATTGGCTCCAATTTACCATTCATCCGCTCATCTCACCCTCATAGCGTTACATTAAATGAATCAAGATTCCTCTTAGTTTCACACCTATTACATGTGAGATGTATTTTAAAATCTTTACTTATACAGTTAAGAACAAATTCATATTTACAATGAAGACCTGTCAAATTGAGAAATGGTTCCTAGACCAGTGCTGAAACCGGAAGGGAAAACTCCTAGACCAGTGCTGAACACAGCCTGGCAAACCCCTAGACCAGGGCTGAACCCAGCAGGACAGAACCCAGCAGGACAGAACCCAGCAGGACAGGGTTCGCTGTTAGTGAATATATAGGAGCGGGCAGGAGCCCCTGCTTTGGGTCAGAATAGTGTGAGATCAAGCTGGTGTGGTGGAGAAAGGAGACATAGCCAGTCCATTCAACCCTTAAAAGGGTGTCCAATCAAAAACACATATTTTGACCAATGGGTAAAATAAATTAAAAATTGGGGTGACTAAATCAGTGGAGGCCAGACAATAAAAGCGGTCAAAAATCAGAAAAATAGCATCGCTTCCGGAGGCTATAAAACAATAGAGGTAAGATAGATATAGATTTTGAGACATGACTTGTAGTATTTCATATTTTAGTATACGCTTTCACATATTAATACGAAATTCCTGTTCATTTTCAAAGATGTCTCACAAAAACAAGCATAGCTCTGTGAAATGTCAACAGAGCACTGAGTGTACCGCAAGCTTTTTAATTTCAAAACCTTTTACATTTAATTCAGTTCGTGTCATGTTCATTTGGCTTTTTGCGACCACCACACGTAAAATCCTCAAAAGTCTCTGTGAGAAAGCGCACCGCTCTGTCAACAGAGCTTGTTGCGTATTATCGGATGTATTAGGTTACGAAATCCGACTTTTTTGATATAAATGTTAATGATGTGTTAGAGAAAGACCCCACTGAACGATTCAGAACTTGATGATATTTGTCTTGGTAAAATGTATTTTATAACATAAGTGAAATGTCATCACCAAAGTGCGTTTTCACCCACTATGAGCAGTGAGTGGACACCCTAACCTTCGTACCCTACCCAGAGACATCTCGTGATAATACTACCAGACGTTTCATGCCCACTGAAACCGAGGGGGTCACATTTCTATTTTCAGGATAACAAAATACAAGATATAAACAGAATTAAATGTGAAGATATTGAATTAAGCCATCATTGCCCCCTCAAATATTTGTGGTGAAAACTCCAGCCATCATTCTAAGACCACGGTCAAGTCATTCCCGTATTACTTACACCTTTCATACCTATCGGGGGCAATCAAGAAGTCTACTAACTAGGGTTAGGGACTAGAGGTTGATTTTGGACTGGACTAGTGATAAAAGCGTCATAATTAGTGATAGAAGCATTGAAAGAGCTGCCTTACCGCCGCTATGTGCAGCAGGACGGCCCCACTCTTGCGCTCGTTGTTGGTGAAAAGGTCTTCAGGGAACTCCTTGATCGCTGAGGAGAGAAAACATCACCGCATGTCAGTAATGTGACTGATGTCCCCACTCCAAGGATGAGGTCACCTTGTGAGGTGGTGGCGGCACTGACCAAGAAGTTGGTAAGACTTTGAAATGTTCGCGTCAACTCCGAAACACATTACTTATTTTTTGCAGTGACGGGAGAGACAAAGAGGTTTGTAAGACACAATGCGTGTATAATACATGTCAACTGCGAAACCAATGACTTCATTTCTATTTGCATTATGTCACCAATGGACCCATCCTCCTCATCCCCTAAAAGAAATGACAATGCAGTAATACTCAAAGAGCAAGAGCATGGTTTATGTGTTCAGTAGGGAGAAACTGTTTCGAAACAGAGTTAAACAGGGATGTACTACCTGAACTTGTCCAATAAGAAACACTTGTTTTCCATTGCAAACATTTCAAAGAGCTTCTTTACAGTGTGCCCTACTGAACATGGCCCTGATAGAGTGCAAGGAAGCTAGGTGGCAACACAGAAACATAAGGCTAATTCAGCACCCCTTTAAACCTGGCCAGAAGCCCTTTAAACCTGGCCAGAAGCCCTTTAAACCTGGCCAAAACACAGGTTGACCCCTGACTCTACTGACCCCTGTACTGCCCAAGAACGTGGTCACTCCGCTGAGCATCTGGCCGCAGCAGTGAGAAACACACTGGCCCTCCATGGGAGCCAGCTAGTGTCTGGAGTAGGAATGATTTTGGGTCCACCAGAGGCCAGATGTACACCCACCTGCATGTGCCTTCTCTTCCTATTACTTCCATCATGTACAGTGGGGGAATATAGTATTTAGTCAGCCACCAATTGTGCAAGTTCTCCCCCTTAAAAATATGAGAGAGGCCTGTAATTTTCATTATAGGTACACGTCAACTATGACAGACAAATTGAGAAGAAAAAAATCCAGAAAATCACATTGTAGGATTTTTAATGAATTTATAAGTATAAGTATTTGGTCACCTACAAACAAGCAAGATTTCTGGCTCTCACAGACCTGTAACAACTTCTTTAAGAGGCTCCTCTGTCCTCCACTCGTTACCTGTATTAATGGCACCTGTTTGAACTTGTTATCAGTATAAAAGACACCTGTCCACAACCTCAAACAGTCACACTCCAAACTCCACTATGGCCAAGACCAAAGAGCTGTCAAAGGACACCAGAATCCAAATGGTAGACCTGCACCAGGCTGGGAAGACTGAATCTGCAATAGGTAAGCAGCTTGGTTTGAAGAAATCAACTGTGGGAGCAATTATTAGGAAATGGAAGACATACAAGACCACTGATAATCTCCCTCGGTCTGGGGCTCCACGCAAGATCTCACCCCGTGGGGTCAAAATGATCACAAGAACGGTGAGCAAAAATCCCAGAACCACACGGGGGGACCTAGTGAATGACCTGCAGAGAGCTGGGACCAAAGTAACAAAGCCTACCATCAGTAACACACTATGCCGCCAGGGACTCAAATCCTGCAGTGCCAGACGTGTCCCCCTGCTTAAGCCAGTACATGTCCAGGCCCGTCTGAAGTTTGCTAGAGTGCATTTGGATGATCCAGAAGAGGATTGGGAGAATGTCATATGGTCAGATGAAACCAAAATAGAACTTTTTGGTAGAAACTCAACTCGTCGTGTTTGGAGGACAAAGAATGCTGAGTTGCATCCAAAGAACACCATACCTACTGTGAAGCATGGGGGTGGAGACATCATGCTTTGGGGCTGTTTTTCTGCAAAGGGACCAGGACGACTGATCCGTGTAAAGGAAAGAATGAATGGGGCCATGTATCGTGAGATTTTGAGTGAAAACCTCCTTCCATCAGCAAGGGCATTGAAGATGAAACGTGGCTGGGTCTTTCAGCATGACAATGATCCCAAACACACCGCCCGGGCAACGAAGGAGTGGCTTCGTAAGAAGCATTTCAAGGTCCTGGAGTGGCCTAGCCAGTCTCCAGATCTCAACCCCATAGGAAATCTTTGGAGGGAGTTGAAAGTCTGTGTTGCCCAGCGACAGCCCCAAAACATCACTGCTCTAGAGGAGATCTGCAGGGAGGAATGGGCCAAAATACCAGCAACAGTGTGTGAAAACCTTGTGAAGACTTACAGAAAACGTTTGACCTGAGTCATTGCCAATAAAGGGTATATAACAAAGTATTGAGAAACTTTTGTTATTGACCAAATACTTATTTTCCACCATAATTTGCAAATACATGTATTAAAAATCCTACAATGTGATTTTCTGGAGAAAAAAAATATCAATTTGTCTGTCATAGTTGACGTGTACCTATGATGAAAATTACAGGCCTCTCTCATCTTTTTAAGTGGGAGAACTTGCACAATTGGTGGCTGACTAAATACTTTTTTTCCCCACTGTAGAATAATGTCCCAGGCAATCAGGATACCAGACCATGAAGTTATAGAATCCTAGATTGTCCAAATCCACCATAATCTACATGTAGATCAGTTCTCGTGCATTTGCATGTGGCTTGATACAATAGTCTGTAGAAAGCTTTTAACACAAACCGAAACAATCATGCATTACCGTTCACATAGCCAGTAGAAGTACTAAGCACAGTTTCATAGACAGTATGCACCAATAACCTACATTTGATCTTCTGTGGCATATGGACTCATGAAATGAAAGTGATCACTTGAGACCCTATACCAGTGCACCTGTCCCACACTTATAATAATAATATGCCATTTAGCAGACGCTTTTATCCAAAGCGACTTACAGTCATGCGTGCATACATTATTCGTTTTTTGTGTATGGGTGGTCCCGGGGATCGAACCCACTACCTTAGCGTTACAAGCGCCGTGCTCTACCAGCTGAGCTACACACTTAATGCAATCCACCTTCTATCTACATCAGATGGTGCTCATGACTGATTCACTAACCCAAGTTCTAAAACCTCCTTGGCACACTGCTTTGGCCCAACTCTTCCAAGGGATATCATATAATATTACAGTAGCCTATGACATCCCTTCCCCCAGTAGGCATGCAGGTAAAGAGATGGAAGAGGAAAGAAAAAAGGGAGTTTAAAATGTCAGCTCGGGGGATTCTGGTGGTCGCTGTCCATGGTGCTAGCAGCATGAATTGTTTATATTAGTGCAATATCGGACCTTTGCCACGTGACAAAGTCCACACACATACAGTGGGGGAAAAAAGTATTTAGTCAGCCACCAATTGTGCAAGTTCTCCCACTTAAAAAGATGAGAGAGGCCTGTAATTTTCATCATAGGTACACGTCAACTATGACAGACAAATTGATATTTTTTTTCTCCAGAAAATCACATTGTAGGATTTTTAATACATGTATTTGCAAATTATGGTGGAAAATAAGTATTTGGTCAATAACAAAAGTTTCTCAATACTTTGTTATATACCCTTTATTGGCAATGACTCAGGTCAAACGTTTTCTGTAAGTCTTCACAAGGTTTTCACACACTGTTGCTGGTATTTTGGCCCATTCCTCCCTGCAGATCTCCTCTAGAGCAGTGATGTTTTGGGGCTGTCGCTGGGCAACACAGACTTTCAACTCCCTCCAAAGATTTCCTATGGGGTTGAGATCTGGAGACTGGCTAGGCCACTCCAGGACCTTGAAATGCTTCTTACGAAGCCACTCCTTCGTTGCCCGGGCGGTGTGTTTGGGATCATTGTCATGCTGAAAGACCCAGCCACGTTTCATCTTCAATGCCCTTGCTGATGGAAGGAGGTTTTCACTCAAAATCTCACGATACATGGCCCCATTCATTCTTTCCTTTACACGGATCAGTCGTCCTGGAACAAAAACGAAAAACAGCCCCAAAGCATGATGTTTCCACCCCCAAGCTTCACAGTAGGTATGGTGATCTTTGGATGCAACTCAGCATTCTTTGTCCTCCAAACACGACGAGTTGAGTTTTTACCAAAAGTTCTATTTTGGTTTCATCTGACCATATGACATTCTCCCAATCCTCTTCTGGATCATCCAAATGCACTCTAGCAAACTTCAGACGGGCCTGGACATGTACTGGCTTAAGCAGGGGGACACGTCTGGCACTGCAGGATTTGAGTCCCTGGCGGCGTAGTGTGTTACTGATGGTAGGCTTTGTTACTTTGGTCCCAGCTCTCTGCAGGTCATTCACTAGGTCCCCCCGTGTGGTTCTGGGATTTTTGCTCACCGTTCTTGTGATCATTTTGACCCCACGGGGTGAGATCTTGCGTGGAGCCCCAGATCGAGGGAGATTATCAGTGGTCTTGTATGTCTTCCATTTCCTAATAAATCACTCCCACAGTTGATTTCTTCAAACCAAGCTGCTTATCAAATCAAATCAAATTTTATTGGTCACATGCGCCGAATACAACAGGTGCAGACATTACAGTGAAATGCTTACTTACAGCCCTTAACCAACAGTGCATTTATTTTAAACAAAAAAAGTAAGAATAAAACAACAACAAAAAAGTGTTGAGAAAAAAAGAGCAGAAGTAAAATAAAGTGACAGTAGGGAGGCTATATATACAGTAAAATAAAGTGACAGTAGGGAGGCTATATATACAGGGGGGTACCGTTGCATAGTCAATGTGCGGGGGCACCGGCTAGTTGAGGTAATATGTACATGTGGGTAGAGTTAAAGTGACTATGCATAAATACTTAACAGAGTAGCAGCAGCGTAAAAAGGATGGGGTGGGGGGGCAGTGCAAATATTCCGGGTAGCCATGATTAGCTGTTCAGGAGTCTTATGGCTTGGGGGGTAGAAGCTGTTGAGAAGTCTTTTGGACCTAGACTTGGCACTCCGGTAACGCTTGCCGTGCGGTAGCAGAGAGAACAGTCTATGACTAGGGTGGCTGGAGTCTTTGACAATTTTGAGGGCCTTCCTCTGACACCGCCTGGTATAGAGGTCCTGGATGGCAGGGAGCTTTGCCCCAGTGATGTACTGGGCCGTACGCACTACCCTCTGTAGTGCCTTGCGGTCAGAGGCCAAGTAGTTGCCATACCAGGCGGTGATGCAACCAGTCAGGATGCTCTCGATGGTGCAGCTGTAGAATTTTTTGAGGATCTGAGGACCCATGCCAAATTACCTATTGCAGATTCAGTCTTCCCAGCCTGCTGCAGGTCTACAATTTTGTTTCTGGTGTCCTTTGACAGCTCTTTGGTCTTGGCCATAGTGGAGTTTGGTGTGTGACTGTTTGAGGTTGTGGACAGGTGTCTTTTATACTGATAACAAGTTCAAACAGGTGCCATTAATACAGGTAACGAGTGGAGGACAGAGGAGCCTCTTAAAGAAGAAGTTACAGGTCTGTGAGAGCCAGAAATCTTGCTTGTTTGTAGGTGACCAAATAATTATTTTTTTCCACCATAATTTGCAAATAAATTCATTATAAATCCTACAATGTGATTTTCTGGAAAAAAAATTCTCAATTTGTCTGTCATAGTTGACGTGTACCTATGATGAAAATTACAGGCCTCTCTCATCTTTTTAAGTGGGAGAACATGCACAATTGGTGGCTGACTAAATACTTTTTTCCCCCACTGTACATCTCTGTGAGAGTCCTCCCAAGGTCGGATGCTGCATGTCACAACAGATATAGGCAACAAAGGCAATATGTGGAATTCAGTGCGGAAAAAGATTACACCATTGATTAGATTTTGCCCATTTTATTTATGAAGGCAGGCAATGTGGCGAAAGCTTCGTGTAGGCTACTGCTCAGGAGATCACAGGTGCAATAAATTAGAATATGACAGCTGCGCACGAGGAGGGTTTGTACTTGAGTAACATAACAATAACACTAATAGCCCAATTCGGGAAATACCATAGGTATCATTAACTTGACTCATTTGGCAATGACGACTACAAAGCTTAGAGGAATCAAATAGAGCTGCCAATCAAGTAAACAACATCCTTTTCCCCCCGATAGTGCGCTTTAACCCGCTCTCTGTACCCTATAGTCCACATTTGCCTGTCCTTGTCCGACACGTCTTCCAATATCGACTGGGGTGTTCTGTGAGTCAATCAATAATTTAATAGCTCTACCCGCCATCACCATCTCTCCCTCTTTGTAGTTAATGGGACAATCCTTTGGTGCCACGATACAATCAGGTCTGGCTGTGCTCGTGGTATAAATAGGTACGATAGCAAAGGTACTTAGAGGACGCCACCGGGAGCTAGCGCACAGTTGGGCGGACGGAGGGGGTCGCGTCTCGCTCACTGCGTTGTAAACAGTGAACCAGACACGGTCTGCGCAGGGTTTGCCCGTGTCCTTCCCTGCGGAGGTCAGTCCGGACACGAACATGCTTCAACAGCCGTTTGCCACACGGGGATAGGCGAGGAGTTCGCTAGGCTACTGCTACAGCAGACAGGGAGGGTGCAGCCCTTGGAGGGAGCGTGCTGCTTGATTAATATACGCGTCTCAAACCTGGCTCAAGAATAGCATCATCTAGACTAGCTAGATTAATACCCTCACATGGGCCAAGGTGATTTATATGCTCGCTTTCTGCCAAATGTCTCGCTATTAATTGGAAGAACGTCATCATGCATCGGTATTTGGTACGTTTTCTGCCAGTGTTGATGTTTAAAGGGGCAATCTGTGATTTCTACATCCATTTGTAGACGTTTAAATTAATTATATATACCCTTTGTTGAATAATACAACTTGGATGCCTCGTGACATTACTTTTGTTTACAATGTAATTGTAAACAAACACTCCATAGCCTAAAAGCATGGTTAAAACTATCATGTTGATATCATGGATAGTCAGTCCTTGCATCCATAGCACTGTCCAACAGTTTGAGAATGGTTACATTTATCCAGCCCCATCCCTCAGCTGTTTACCAAATCAGTGGTGGGGTACCTGCTTTATTGTTCGATATGCAGATTTACCCTTTAAAAGGGTGGCACACTTGACAAGTGGATCCAGAGGTGACAGTATTTGCACTGGCAACCTGCTGCTGCGTTCTGCATGTTGTTGAAGTTTGTCAGTGTGAAACAATGTGTCAGTGTGTGGAAACCTTTTGGGATCCCTTTTTGGAGTAGGCTATGTATAATTTAGTTTGATATGAATCTCAAGTGGCACACCATACATTCGTGTATTGCCATAATGTAACTTCAAAATCACATGCAGTGAGACACCTTGGCCCCCTATACACACACTCAAGTTGTACAACTGATGTATGATGCATTTGACACAATGGTTGTGATCCAACGGAGAGTTTCCACAAAGTCTGTTTATTTATTACTGTTTAGAAAAACTCTCCTTTGTGTTATGAATCGTGAACTCTTGTGCCAAAAATGTGTTGCACATCAGTTGTACAACTTCAGTGAGTATAGGGCCCTTGTCATACCAATGTGAATCCATTTCAGCTAGAAGACCTTTGCGTCGTTTTGTCATAACAACTACAAAGTAGTTGGCTACGAGAACGTCTGAGTGACATATTGCACACATGCAAGGTTTAAATAGTGTGGCGCCCTTAAATAACATGTTAACTTGTATCATATTAGTTTCAGTACCAACAATAATAGCAGTGAAAGAACCATCTGACTCAGCAAAATAAACGTTTAAAATGTTTTTTTTTCCTCAGATGATTACCTTTTTAAAAAGACGACCAATTAGTATTAAAAGTAAGTCTACAAAATGTGCATTCTATTGATATTTTTTTCCACAACTGCAGTCAGCGTCAACACGTGTGGCATTAACAAGCTACATTTTGTACCAACTAAATACATACTATGCTCAAAAGGACCTTGTGAAAAGGACAACAGCAGAATAACTTAAAAAATTAAACAAAAGTCACTCCTCCTTTGTCACATTGTTGTTGAATTTGCTTGAAAACAACCAAATCATCCACATCTATTAATAAATCACTGGATTCTCTGTTTGGCCACCTGATGAGTGGCAGCTGCTTATGCAAGAAAATGCTGGCAACACTTATCATCCGTCTCCTCTCCACACACACACAGCCCCAGGAGTAAGCTAAGTCCCCAGAGCTCTGTTGGAGGGTTTACCAGCACAATTCTTTACCCTGCTAGTGCTAACCACTAAAGCACTGGTTGGTCAACGAAATTCTTATCCAATCATCTTCCGCCGCATACTAGATCCTATAGGCCACAACTGTCTGGACATTAGGCCTGTGGTCATAAGTAGTGATAATGCTCTCCTCACCACGTCGCTCTTTCTCACACACACACAAAATAACTACATTTGTTAAGCTTGGACTTGACATATAGATCTCCATATGTATTAGTACATCAACATGACTGAATAGGCTGTGTGTGTGTGTGTATAGTAGTTGGATATGGTCTGCCATCTCTGCCAAATGTAATGCATGTATTTCATGTTTTATCCGGGTGCACCTAGGGCTGTGGCGGTCATGAAATTTAGTCAGCCGGTGATTGTCAACGAAATAACTGTCGTTCTCACGGTAATTGACCGTTCATTAACAAACACATTTAGCATCTCCTGGCTTCCACACATAGCCTGCAAGCCACTGATGCAGACCTTTGGAACATCTACATTTTAAAAAGTCTAATAAATCCATGTAATATAGCCTAAACCTTCACAATAAATCCATTATTTATTTTAGACAGGTCTAAAGAAACATGATGACGAAAATGTTGTCTATTTCAGAAGCACAGAATAGCATACGCTGAGTTGTGTTAGGTCCTGATCTGGCTATGCCATATGGCTGTGGGCTACACTAGTTCATTTAGCAGACAAGATTTGCTTAGAATTCCATGGCATTATTTTATATTGTTTTATAGTATGAAGAATACAATTTAACAACGCTGAATTAAATAAAAATCATATTTTCTCCAAAGGATTTGAGGGAGTGCGCACATGCGGCTATTCTGTGTTGAGCGGTTAACAAAGAAAATAGGTCCTCCTATATGTTTAATTTAGAGTTATTAATGTAACTTTAGTTGTTCTACAAACATTGGGCTATATGTTTGGATGTTTAATACATTCTAAGGCTGCATGATGCGACTAATGATGACTTGAAAAAAGGATCATGAAAGGCATGAGCTCTGCTTTGTTTCTTGCGCAGGCTGCACACACTTCATCAGTCTCTCATTCACAATTTGACAAGCACTTGATAATGCCTCGAATTTCCCGGCGGCATCCCGTGTGCCGAATTTCCCGGCGGCATCCCCTGTGTGCCTTTTGCGGCCAGTGGCCATTGTGCCCTTGGCCCCTAGTGCTGCGTTGTGCCCTTCTCCCTGAGTGCTGCGCGCTCCCAAGCACCTCTTACTCACATGGCTCTCCATCACGTGATTGGGTCTTTCTCACAAGCTACATGTGAAAACAGACACATTGGGGACACAACTGCGCGCGTCCTTATCCAATTCCGAGGTGCATATTGAAGATATTGGAAAAAAAACTGTCCACAGCCAAAAAGATGAGTAGGCCTAACGAACAGCCAAAGCACTAGCCTATGTCAATCTACTATCCCCCATAGTACAAAAGTTGACCTATTCTATTCTGTGCGAGAAATAAATATTCCAAACATAGTCTGGGACAGTTGTGGGATGCGATAGATCTCAAATTAATACAATCACTAGCATCAAAAAAACCTTTTTTACGCAATGTGGCTGACGCAACAGATCAGAACGTTTAGCTTAAAATGTTGATCAACTATTAGGCTATTTCTTCAAATTATAAGTACAGCAATGAGTAGGCTATAAGCACGAATATGCCATTAGTGGGAAAACACCATTATCAAAAGTGACCGCAAATGCGATCATGCATGCAATGCTTTTATTATAAAAGGTGCATTTTTATGGTGAAAATATCTTCCCCAAACTTGAAACTCACACGCTGCTTATGTATGCCAGTTAGGCTCTACACTCTTTGTAAAGCAGATTAATGTGCTTAATTTTAAATAAGTTATTTGGCCACTTTAGTTGTGATACAAACCTTATCAAAACATATAGGCCTATGGGCTAGGCTACATGAGGTGTGCGACTAAGCTTAGAAAAAGTCACAAAGTGATAATATATCATTCACAAGTGATAGGCTAATATTGTCACCCATCAGACTATTCTTGATTTAATTGTCTTCACATATACTAAATAATATATGTGAAATTTGTTTTGATTTAGAATTGACCATTATCATGCACCTGTATCGAAACAGGGGCAGGGGAAAAAATACATGTAATCTATGCACTTAAATAGCAAATGGAGGACGCTTTTCCCGTGATTCATTTTCATGCCAGCCAGGTAGGCTATACTCCTGTTGTAAAGATAAGCAATGTGCTTAATATTAGGAAAGTTGAGAAATAAATATAGTAGGCCTAGCCTATAGAAAGCTGATGGGATCCTCCTCTTTTTAATAGAGGCCATCACTCTGTTTTCTCATGCAATTGCATAGCCTATAGAAATGTTGTGCAACATGAGCTCATGGGCTCTCATGAAGTGTTTGATTAGATTTTCGATTATATTTGCATTGATGTCAGAGTGATTAGAGGGACAATAGAGTGCTGAGTACCAGGCAGTTAGCAAGTTTGGTAGGCTACTAATGACCATCAGCAGCATCAGAGCTTGGAGAAGCCTAATTACCGTGACTAAACGGTCATGTGGAATTTGACTGCTTTCATGACTCTTGACCGCCGGTGTGGCGGTAATACGGTCACCACAACAGCCCTAGTTGCACCTTTCAAATGTCCATTCACTTATCAGCCATAATCAAACAGAACACACTAACTATGCTGTAATTTAATGCAATTAGTCTGTAATCTGATTGATAGATGTATGCTGAGGCCTTACATAACAAGGCTCAGTATAGGGGTCCGTCTGTCTGTTGTCCCAGACCCATGTCAGGACAGACAGACACACAGACAGACCACTCATCACACTAGCCAGTTCTGATACCATTCTGCCAATGACCAAACCAAATCAATAAGGTCCCCCACAAGAAATGCCATTATTGAAATTCATACCACAGCATTGCAGAATATTACATTCTGATTGGTCAAGAGGGTGTTGATTATTTTCTGAAATACACACTGCAAAACATAATATTCAACTGGAAAAATAAATGATGAAAGTTGCAAGTAACCGATCGCGACTCATTATTTGTAGATAATGACTCATTTGCGTGACCAGATAGACATCATTGGCAGGCATGACGAATGACATCATAGGTAAACAATAATTATGTGACATCATCAATGGAGGCCCACATCATTCAGTCCACTCTCTGGGGAGCTGGTCAAGGTCAGGCTGCACATCTGAGCATGTTGCCGTGGCACCTAGAAACCATGTCAACACTGCAACTCCCACGGTTGGCAGGTGGC